CCCCCCCCCCCCCTTTCCCCATTTTACATATCTCGTTGATCTATTCAGTTAAAGCCAAAATTCACACCTGATTACATTTTAACGGAAAATGGGTCCAACTTCGCCGGGCTGGTCATGTCTTTAGAATATCGTTAAATTTCAGGATCCCAAAGCCAGTATTCTGAGTTGTCCTATTGAAAGTTGAAAGCGTTAATTTGGTGCACCAAAAAAAAAAGTGTCACAAAGACACCCTGAAAATGTCTCAGAAGGACTTGAACTTAATAATAAATCTTTCGACAGACCTACTTGGAAAGCAGCAGTCACAGTGCAGTGGGCAGCTAGTCATAGGGCGCTTCTCGAATGGGAAAGGCTAAAGCCAAGAGTTGCCCGCAAGCTGCGCACATCCACGAGTGGAAATGAAGCTTTAAAAATAAATGTTCAAAATGTGGTAAACTTCTGTTTACCAAAATTTTTACTGATGTTGGTCTTTCATACTGGTCATAGCAAAAGCCACAAGTCACCTTAACCTTTATTACGAGGGCTGACCCACAGAAAACCGGAATTTGACTGTAATTTGAAAACTATTAAATATTTTCACATTCTGTAAACCCACATTTGTAAAACAATCATTAAGGAATTTCCCTATTGAACACCATGAGCATCACACAAACCAAACGAACACAGCAGTTCTCCAAAGATGGCTACCCCCTTGGAAAATTTGTCAAGGGTAGAAGTGGGGTCTGTCATTCGGTTTCTGATCGCAAAAGGTCTCAAACCTATAGAAATACACACTGAAATAAAGTCTGTTTACGGGGGAAAAGTAATGGCAAAGTCACAGGTATATGAGTGGTGTAGTAAGTTCAAAGCCGGGCATACGGATGTCAGTGACAAAGTTCACCCAGGACCTTGTTTTTCTGCAAAGACTGAGGACAACAAGAGCGGCGTTAACGAACTCATTCAAACAGACAGGCGCCTAAAAAATTCGCGAAATTTTGAGTTTGTAAAAAAAGCAAGAGCAAAAAGTGCACCTGGAGGAGATGGCGTGTCTTATAAGGTGTTCAAGTATTGCGACACGCTGAGACACACCCTCTTTGAGATGCTAAGAGGCCTTTGGAAAGACAAAGAAATCGTCAAAGATTGGTGCAGAGCGGAGGGCGTGTATCTACCCAAAGAACAGAATGCAAAGGAGATAGGACAGTTCAGACCTATTTCAATCATCAACGTGACGTGCAAGATCTTTATATGGGAATACTTGCAAAGAGGACTGTAGCATATTTGCAAAGTAACGGCTATGTGGATGAAAGGGTTCAGAAAGCCGGGGTACCAGGGATCCCAGGCTGCATCGAGCATGCTTTCACCATTTGGGACACAATCCAAGAGGCCAAGAAAAACAAGGAAAGTTTAAACGTAGTGTGGTTGGATCTGGCGAATGCCTACGGGTCTGTTCCCCATAAATTGCTGATGAAGGCAATGGATTTTTTCTACGTCCCGCAAGAGGTGCAAAACATCATGAAAGAATACTATAGTAACTTCCAGATGCGATTCTCAACCGCAAATTTCACAACGGAATGGCACCGACTAAAGATTGGGATTGCAGCTGGCTGCTCTATATCGGTCATCTGGTTCATCCTGGTAATGGAGATGCTACTGAGATCTGCAGAATGCTGTGAAGAAGAAGCAAAGGTGAGATCACCAAAGAAAGCCTTTATGGATGATGTGATCCTACTGACAAGAGATGGAGACACAATGCAAAGTGTGTTGAATCGGCTCGATAAGCTTATCACCTGGGCCAGGATGAAGTTTAAAGCTAAAAAGTCTAGAAACCTGACTATTCACAAAGGAAAACAGAAGCAACTGAAGTTCACAATGGCAGGGGAGCAAATGCCCACAGTAAAAGAACAACCTGTCAAAAGTTTGGGTCGGTGGTACTCAGGAACTCTGTCTGATAGGAGTCAAGGCGTGGAAATCATGAAGCAGGCTGAAAATGGGCTGAAAGCAATTGACCAGACAAAGCTTCCAGGAAAGCATAAGATATGGTGTCTACAGTTTGCCCTCTACCCTCGATTGGCGTGGCCACTGACAATGTATGAAGTTGCTCTGTCAAGAGTTGAGATGATCGAAAGAAAGTGTAACAGCTACATCAGGAAGTGGCTGGGGCTACCCCGTACCATTAACACGTCATCCCTGTACAGACATAGAGGTGCGCTTCAACTACCTCTCACGTCAATCGTGGAGGCAAGATTAGAACCGTTTTGATGTTTAGAGAATCAAGGGATAAGGAGATCAGTGGAAAACCTCCAGATGTCAAAACAGCCAGAAAGTGGAAGCCAAAAGTTGCAGCTAACGAGATCATCTCTGCTTTGGAGCATGGTGACATTGTCGGTCCAGCGCAACCTGACAGATTAGGGCTAGGTAATGGCGACTTTAGACCTTTCAGGAAAATGTCTCAGCGAGACAGAAGAAAAGCTGCAACAAGACATATACAAAAGATGGAGGCAGAGGGGCGAGAAATTCATCTCATCCAGTGTAGCCAGCAAGGACAAATGACCAGATGGGAAGAGCATGTAGTGGAAAGAAAAGTCGGGTGGAGTGACATCTGGAAGTGGAATACATCAAGGCTAAGCTTTCTTCTCCGGTCTACGTATGATGTTCTGCCTTCACCGGTGAACCTTGTCAGATGGAAGGTACAGGAGGACAACAAGTGTAGATGCGGTAAGCTAGGAACCATGAAGCATATTTTGTCAAACTACAACGTGGCTCTTAACAGATACACCTGGAGGCACAATGAGGTGCTGAAAGTGTTCACGACAATGGCGACAGAACAGGTGGAAGAAGGAAAATATGCCCCCAAGATACAGAAGCATGGACCCACCAAGATTGCGTTCGTTCCGCAAGGAAGCAATGTTACCAAAAGAAAGAAAGCGAACGAAGCTATGGAAGACCAGAGCGGAGGCACATGGGAGGTAGCTGCTGACTTAAAAGGCTTTGAGAGATTCTTCCCCATTCCAACTACGAAAAAGCCAGACATTGTGTTATGGGAGGAAAAAGACAAAGAGGTGCACTTGGTAGAGCTCACGGTGCCCCACGAGGACAATATCTATGCCGATCATGAGCGGAAAGAAAACCGTTACGAGGCACTCGCCGAACAATGTGAGGAGGCAGGATGGAAGGCAACCCATTTTCCGGTAGAGGTAGGATGCAGAGGTTTTGTAGCAACAAGCGCCCGTAAGTGGATGAGAGTGGCAGGACTTACTGCAAAGAAATGCAACGAAATCACAAACTCCCTCCAGGAGACAGCAGAGAAAGCCAGTCACTGGATCTGGTTGAAGCGAGAGGACTCAGGCTGGAATGAATCCTAAAGTTGGCAGCAGAGGAAAACAGTCGAACTAACATGGAGACCTCACATCGGTGAGGGGGCTCGGTGCGTCAGAAAAGCTGTAGAGAGGAAGAGCCCGAAACAGCGACGCATTCTCTCCTGATGATCTCCATGCTAGAGTCCGGGATACGGAGCGTTCGGCGGTGAGCAGTGCATACAGCTGTTTAGACTACGTACCAAGTCGCTAAACATTTCAAAGTCGACTGTCCATAGGATAGTGTTTGATGAGCTGCGCTATCGAGAGGTCTCTGCTCGATGGGTCTTAAAAGAGCTGACAGCTGACCACAAGACGCAACGTGTTGAAGTGTCTCAGACTTTGTTGTCGCCAAGCTGTCATGGGAGTCATGAACGCATCTGGAGACTTCCAACAATACGATGAAGCATTCCTGAGAAGCATTATTACAGGTGATGAGACTTGGATACGCCACATGACCCCTGAGACGAAGAGGGACTCAATGGTTCGGAAGCACAAGTCTTCATCTCCCCCGAAAAAGTTTAAAGTTCAGCCATCGGTGAAGAAACTCATGGCCACGGTTTTCTGGGATGCTAAGGGTGTTCTGTTTCTTGACATTCTGGAACCAGGAAAATCTGTTAAAGCTAACAGATACAATGTACTGCCAGACTCTTGATAAGTTGTTGATAGAGGTTGTGCGCCGAAAGAGACCAGGCCGGTAGTCCAGCGGGGTCATTTTACAGCATGACAACGCAACGTCACACACCGCAAACGCTACGAAAAACTGGATCCAAAGGTTCGGTTGGAAAGTTCTGCCACCCCACCCCCCTCACAGTCCTGACGTGGCCCGGTCAGATTACCACCTTTTGGACCAATGAAACGCCATATTTCTGGACAGCGATTCACCGAAGACGAAAACCTCGTGGAAGCCGTGAAAGATTGGTTGAAATCCCTTGACGAAAAATTCTTCAGGGAGGGTATCTTCTCCCTGATCCAGCGATAGGAAAAATGCGTCTAGCGGGGTGGTGATTACATTGAGAAATAAAGCACATGTTGAAGTATGATGTGTTACGTTTTTATTATAATAGGACAAAGGTTGTTGCTGTTATGGACTTTTCCGGTTTCCTGTGGGACAGCCCTAGTAGTATATTATAATAATGTGTATCATTTCAGTCCATCGGTTAAAATGCAGTCATACAGTCTTCACAAAAAGTTAAGGATCACTTGCAAAAGAGCACAAAAAATAAAAATCAGCAAATCAAATAATTCATTCTTTAATATACAATGTACATATTCATCAATCCATGAGTGCAACAAAGAAATTTCTTCATCAGTCACAATTGAGATCGAAATGCAAGATTCCCAGCGCTCAAAAGGGACCCACCCTCAAAATCGAAAATCACAAAAGAAAGGCTCGGGGAATGTTGTTCCATTTTTGTTACAGCGATCCAAGCAGCTGCTTGCGGGCAAAGGGTAGTTCTCCCGAACTCTCCGATCAAGCTCAGCCTACAACTGTTCAATAGGATTGAGGTCTGGACAGTTGGCAGGCCAAACCATGTGGGTAATCCCCGCCTGCTGCACGAAGGCGTTGACGCCGTGGACCTGTGCGGCGTGGTGTTGTCGTCCTGAAGGACAGCAGCAGGCCCAATCTGCTGCAGCGCTGTGACGATCAGAGGTCAAAAGATCTCCTGCAGATACCGCTGCCCTGCCAGGATGCCTAGCTGTGAATGGTGGACACATGCGCTTCTAACAATTCCATGGACCTTCGCGAACTTGAACTGGTCGTTTTCTTTGATATTGCTGAGACTTTTTGAGACCCTTTCTTTTGTGATTTTCGATTTTGAGGGTGGGTCCCTTTGAGGGCTGGGAATTACGCATTTCGGTTTCGATTGCGATGAAATTTCTTTTGTAAGGGGTCCTTAACTTTTTGTAAAGACTGTACCAGTAATAGAGCTCTGTGCAATTAGAATAGTCACGGAGGTCTATTATTATTATTCTATCAGTTACTAGTGTATACATATCTAATATGTCTGAAGACGAGAAACCCATTTTTTAAATTTGGGCCTTGGGGTTACAATGTAATGTCTACATGACATGTTGGTATGACGTGTTTGGAAAACGAATCTTCCAAGGATTCGAACAAGAATCATCCGTACTACGGCCTGTCTAATACACCCTAATGTGCCCCTCAACATATCTCACTTGAAATGTCTTAAAAGTTAGACCCTTGGAACAAACGTGTCGGGATCGCCAACCACTAGGGTACTGGGTGGAGTTCAGGTGACGTTTCACTAAAAGTAAGCCTATGCCATCACTGCTACGACTACCGTCATAAAATAAATTGCGAAACTGAATAGGTTTAAGTCGCCCCTTGCTACAATTTAGTTCTAGCATCTGCGTTTGTCGCGGCCGCGATTTTTGGCATTTTTTGGTCCGCGAATCGCGGCCGCGATTCTTGCAGTTTTCAAAAAAGACAAAACAACAAAGCTACTTCATAACATATAAGACATGTATTTTGATAAGTTTTAAGATGCCCATGTGTAGGCTATCTATTTTCAAGTGGAGAATATAGGCCTACACATATATGTAAATCATCTCTTTCTTGTGTTTTAATTTGTTGTTGTGTTAATTTAAAAAAAAACTGTTCTGATGATTTGTTTTTCCTTTTTTGTGTTTATAGCCTACTATACACCGTAATGTCATTAATTTGAAGATGTTCCTACCTTTTAAAAAATATAAATGTGTTATGTTATAGCGTGTCTCCACCCCACCAAAACCGAATTCTGACACTGGCACGTTCCAAATGTGTGTGATTCCATAATTTACATAATTGTAATTATCCTGTAGGCCTCCTTTTTCTTGAATTACACACGTTTAGGGTTAAAACAGCCAATCCTCGGATAGGTGGACAAGCGCCCTAATTTGTTAATTTTAGTGGTTATAAAATTTATAATTTATTATATCCGTGCTGTTTTGATTTCATTCTGTTGTGAAACCTTTATTTTTACACGTACTTTTACACTCGGGGCGACTACAATAAATGATACATGTACTCTGGATGCTTAAAATAACAGAGCACAAGAAATTCCTGTGCTTTAGATTGTTACCTCTATCAACATATTGTTATATATGTCGTCACAGAGAATTGAAAGCTAGAAAACTAATGGCAACTTTTGGCCAAAAAAATGGCAACGAACGCAGATGCTAGTACAATGTAAGGTTACTCAGGAGGCAGGATCCAATTTAACGTACATCTCCAATAGGACCCAGCCAAATTGTAAAATTCGTAAGGTGCCTTTCTCAAGGACACAGCGTCGGGCCGAGCTGAGCCTCGAACTCTCAATTCCACAATCAAGAGTCCGGTAGCCTTACCACTGGACTGCCGAGGCACCAGTGTATCGTCTTCCTCAGTGGAATTCGAACTGGGCTTTGCTCTACTTTCTCTCTCTAGAACTACAAGAGGTATTTTCCGTTTATCCTTTGCTCCATTATTTTTCTAAAAGCTTTCGCCTTTGGCTTGGTGAAGAGATCAGATACAGGACCTCCGAAGGTAGTGAAGAGCAATTGCGTTTGTTGCCCCCCCTCCCCCCCAAAAAATTATGGTACAACCGCTATATGCCCTCCGGCTAGACTTCTGAGCATTTCCTTTGTACTCAGACTTATTCGACTCAGCCACAGCACACCTGTTTTTACAATAGCTCTTATGGTTTCTACTGCCCTGGGGCTTTGTTTTTGGGACTGGTTTTAAGTGCAGTCAGATTCTGTGGACTGTAATTACTGTAAGTGTGGTTCTGTTTACAACATGCTGGTTTGAATTTGAATTCTCCTTTGTCTGTTTCAAACGTCCGAGTTGAGTTCTTGGAGGTACCATACTCCCCCCCCCCCCCATCTTTTCTTTAAAGTATCCTTGTTAAGAATGGTATTTCCTTCTTTGTTGGATATGAAGCATATCGGGTTATTAATATTATGGTCCTTTCCTTTCCTCATCTGCATGCTGTCACTTATTTGCTTGGTTTTATCTAATTAAAAATTTAAAAATGTTTGCCACTTTTCTTCCACATCTTGATCTCAGGTAACAGCTAAATCACATGCACACCTTAGTCAGTGATGTCAACTTCGATTGCCATCATCTAGCGCATGTACTAATTAAAGGTCCGCTATGGTGAGAATATAAGTTATAACACTTGATTGTCATTGTCGTAAAAGCTAATACTAATTATAATAGTGATGGCATTAGATCAACATTACATGTATCTATCTTAGTATCTATATATATGATGATATGTAGCATTAGCAGCAAGCAATATCTTTTTCTTTTCAGGTCCATGATATCTTGATGAGATCCATCGACCAAATCCCATAAAACAAGTGGAACTAATATATTAATAAACACGAGCCACAGCCATGTTTACCGATCGAGACAACCAGCCAGGTCATCAAGCAAGACTTGGCAGCATCTATTCACTATCCCTGTATGGGCTATCGATAGGCTAGGCTGTTATTTATATCATTTACATGTTGTACATTACATGAGTGAGCCTGCTTACGTTCTGTGTCGACTGACTTCTACCTGTCACAGGTAGGCCTACATGTAGTCAGTTTACGTAGAACGTAAGTCCAATTTATCTATCATTTCTTGATATTTTTGTACTACAATGTACTGATATGGCCTCAAATTACAGCCAAACAAAGTAACACAAGCCTGCTCCTAGCTGACAGCACCATCCAGACAACGCCACGCTTCACTTGTTGCGATTTTTGATATAACTCAAAGTGTTACTTATCACCTTGAACACGACATATGCTCAAAGCCTTGGAAAATTGAATGTTTACGCCTACCCCATACCTTCAAAATGTTGACTAGTCATCAACACAGTGCTTATGGGTTTGAACCTTTATGTTAGGAGCTGTAATTTAAAAAAAATAAAAATTCTTACATATATCTTTCATCATCTGTGCAGTATGATAGATGAACAGAATATATGCGAAAATGGAGCCAGAGCCTTTCAAAAAGTGTGTGGGAGTGTTTTGGAAGCAGAAAGCACACTGGCTTGCGAGAGGGTCTTTGACATTTTTATAACAGTAACAGCCCTGTCAGCACAACCAACCATGTATGTTGAGAGTTGTACATATTGCACAATAAGCCAGCGAGTTCATCTGTGAAATGTGTACATGAACCAGATGTCAGAAGTCTTGCTTCACGCTTCACAGGGCTCATAATTCATCTCAAAGTACTTGAAGGGTCTATCTATAATTTCAGTGAGCTGTCATATCTTCAGGTCAAGAAGACACATGACCTTTTCAGCACTGATCAAACAGGCTCATTGTTGTGAAGTGGCTAGTTCATTGTCTCTGAGATACACACATAGCTATTTTTCTACTGTGGCTTGTAAATAAATGTATAATATAACATGAAATGATGCAGTTCTCAGCTTTTCTCTGGTACGTCTCCATTTTTTTTGTTGGCCAATTTTTATTCAACAATAATGGTCACCGTGAAGCAGTATTTCCTTTAAGTGTTACCTAAAAAAAACAACAACCAAAAAACAAAAAAACTCCACAAAAAATACTTCAACACAATCAACAAACAATTTGTTATATCATTGTACTTGTGGACATTTTTTTTTTCGTCTTTTATTCATTTTAGGGGGAGGGGATTTTTTAAAAGATTATTTTGTTTTCCTGCTTCTTGACCAGACAGAGCTCTGCCCACAGAACGGCTAGAGTGGTCACCGTATATACAAAAAATAATAATAATAATAATAATAAAAAAAAAATAAAACCAAACCACAACATCCGTTCTATGGTCAAAGGTTGCCAAGGCAAGAGGCAGGGAAACATCAAAGACATCATTTAGCTGTAGGTGCACCATTGCTCAAAGACACCACGCTCTCTAACAACTTTTTTCACGCCATAACAGAGCAAGTATAAAAACGGAACCAGACTCCAGACATTCACCATCGAGATTTAACACGCTCACGCAAGCATACACCTTATCCACACTGCTGCAACTTCCAAGTTCTTCATTTTGTCTTTTTTTGTGTGATTAATTAGTTATCATATTCTTAAAAAAGAAAATTGATAAACACTCACGACATTTATCTTACAATTACCAAAACAACAAAACATTGTTAAAACAACAATTTGAGCATACACAATTTTTTTTTATATCTGACTATAAAAAATATAGACTTGAATGAAGAAATGTTCAAATAACTATGCAATATCTTCCTTTCAAAAAACGTTTCATGGAATTAGAAGGCCTTTACAATTTTAATTTGAAGTGCGGTTTTCTCTCATATGGAATATAGCAGCAGATGGACAAGAAGCACACAAGCCAGGCACACACCACAAACAGCTATGTACAGTAGTAACCATCCAGTCTTCCATAGATCAGCACCAAAAACCCATCAGTCCATCCGTTCCAGCCAACCAGCCACACTCAGACCACGTTCACCCTCAGACAGACACACACACAGTAGCACTCGCCAACACATACGCCCACACATCCCTCCAGTACATGAAAAGGCCATCATACAGGATTCACATGAAAAACCCGAAACACAAAGCACATCAACTGGTCAACACGGGAACCGGCCGCCACAGGCGCCAGGCGCGTTGTCCGAACAAACAGCCCACCCCTCTGCAGATATGTGAACGACGCGAGGGAAGGAGGAACAAAAGAGGGAAGCCATGATGTGGCGGTGGTGGCAACGACCATGACGATAAAATGATGATGCGATGAACTTGGTGGTGGGTGACGTAACAACATGTGGTGACCCAAGTGTGTATAAGATGAAGCATGAGCATGACAACCTCCCCTTTCAACACAGTATGGAGCCCCCCTAACAGCTCCGGATTAAAACAAAACCCCAGTTAGATTCACGAACGAAAATAATGGCTAAAAATGTTCAGAGTTGCAGAGAACCTCAAAATATATCCATAAATTCATGCCCGGAAAATGGTGTAGACAATATGGAAGCCACTAAAAACAAAAGCCTACTCTTTGAGATTCCATGTATGGGTTCAATACATATTGACAAAAGACAAACCTAGATGTATGCATTCAGTTCAGGGTTCTAGCTCAAACTTCGCCAAGGACATTTGAAGTAACTGTCATCTGACATTGACATCAAACAATATATCCATGTAAAACTGGAATTTAATACCAGAGGCATTTAATCTAAATAAAAAAAAGGAACCATCATGACGTTCTGAAAACGAACAACAACGAGACTAATACTGTTGGCAGTGGAACAATATGGAAAACCACAGAAAAAGCAGGAGGTAACACAATATTCATGACTTGCTGTAAAACTGTGTCAAAGCACTCAACTGTCAACTCTCACAACACAAATAGACCCAATTGCTGGATACAAACTCCTCAATGCCTTTCTGTGATCACCCTTTCCAAGCCACGGCTAAACACTGTTAAACCACAGAGAAACGAACCTTATTTGCAGCAGACACCCCAAACAAACTTTTAAAAAAAAAAAAAATCTTCCTCACAGAAGCCATCATGGACTGAATGTGCTCACTCAAGAATCCTGAGGGAAAAAAAAAGGGAAGGTATCTATATCAGTGTTTTGTCTCTTGTCACAAGCTTTTGACTAATATTTCCAGTGGACCTCAAAACAAACAATGTTCATTTCTCAAATGACAGGACAGGTGAGTGATGAGGCCACGAATCAAAATCAAACAATTTGAAAGCGAACTGAATGCACTAAGTCAAGGGGCTCTCTTGGCCTACAGGTTAAGGTGTTGGTCTCTCATTCAAAGGTCCCGGGTTCGAATCCGGGTAGCGACCGAAAAATGTTCTCTAAATTTGTCTCCTTTCACCCCATTTCCTGCTCTCTAGCAATATTCTGTCTGCTTTCGTCTTCTCTTTCTGCCCCCACCTCCTTTGCCCTTTCCTCTGGGTTCCTGATTCTGCAGCCTTTCTACTGCTACTCCGTTTCTTCTTACTGCTGTCTTTCATCCACACCCCTGATCTTCTGGCAGGAAAGATCTACACCTAGCCTTCTCAGACAAGGGCGAAAAATCTCGGAGGGCCCGTGTGCAAGTTGCGCGCGTTAAAGATCCCTTGGTGGTCTAAAATCGCTAAGAATAGGCTTCGGCCGCCACCCGCGCAAAATTCAAAATTTCCTACTAACTGAAAATATTAGGCATGTCCTGCGCGCTCATATGACCTTATGCAGTTGCGAGCGGCGTAAAACTCTTTACAAAAACAAACAAAAGCACTAAGCCAAGCCTTATCAAGACTTGACTCCGATCTTCATTTTTACTGAATGAGTACGAACCATCAACTGTAAGATACAACTTATTCAGCTTCAATTTCCTCAATCTAGGAAAAGAAAAAAATCTCAACAAGTTTTGTTACACTTGAACAGATGTGTATACTTAACAAAAAATAGAAAACTTTAGGTAAAACAATTTAGATCTGTTTCTTAAGGCATGAATCAGGCTTCTGTAAGGCAAAATGCATCTCGATGGTCTCTGAAACGATCCTAGAAAAAAAAAGAACTTTCACTTTCTTTAATTTTCAAATCTTTCATTAGAACAAAAACATATCTGCCTAATGTTATTGGAAACAATGGGCAAAAATTCTAGAGATGCCAAAAGGCATAACAATCCCATGCTCCCTCAGAGAGAAGTGCAGTTAGCTTAAAAAACAAAACAAACCCCAAACCCACACCCAAACGGAAATAACGGGGCAATGGCAAATTAAGACGTCGCATTTATATTGCAAAGGGGTTAAAAATATGCCAGATCACAGCTACGAATCTTGGTAGTGGTTAAACGATTGCACAGCCACAACAGAGGAGGTCCCAGTTCATAAACAAGCACATCTTCCCTTACCCCTGTCAAAAAGAGAGGGTCACTACTTGAGAAGAGTACTGCCAGATTTCTGAAGACCTCATCTTACACTATCATTTCTTCACTTACAAGGAAGCAACCAATGGAAACAACACATATTCTCCCCTTATCAAATCACAATAAAAAGGAAGGCACCCCCCCCACCCTAAAAACGCCCCAACTTACCCATGTCCCATACCACATTTCCTATCCAAACAAAACAACAGAAGTAAACCTCGATAACAAGCTATGAGTACGAGTCAGAAGGAGTGTAGTTTTTGGTTGCTGAATCATTCTCATCATTCTTCTATATACACCACAACGTGTGAAGCATTTGTTCTTGGACGGCCCCATTATAAAAACATCTGCAGAGCAAAGGCAGGTCAAGTTCTCCATTCTTGTGCTTGCGCATGCCACTGTGTTTTGTCTTTGGTGAACAAGGCTCCGGCAGGCTACAACTTCCACAGGCGGAAGAGAGACAGGCTTTAGGCACCCACTCTCAAGCGCAACACACGCTCACTATCCCACAAACGCACTGAGATCCATCAAGTGTGGGTCGAACTTCCCTCCCAAAAATGCTGTGCAGAAAGTGAACACTGAGGATGAAACAAGTCCTCGCTCCAGCAGCTACTCTTCAGCTCTCTCATGTGATGTCCTTGGAATCAAAATGGCTCGTTTCTATCACAAGCTCTGATATGAGACGAAAAACTGCAGACAAAAAGGGTCATGGTCTCTTTTTGCCGTGGCACACTCAACTAGTTTAAGTCTCTGTCTTCCAAATATCTGTACTCAAATGTAAAACCCTCTTTTTTCTTTTGGCCCCACTTCTCATAGTCAAAGTAGATGTATGTGCCCTGAGAGGAAGAGACACAAGCAATAGCAAAATTTAGTCAAAAGTCGAAGACAAAATAAAATGTACATGGTTGAACATTTATATCAATGCAACATGCCGATACATTAATGAAGCACTAAACGAACAGTGTTCCAGAACTAAATGTTGCCATATTTTACCTATATAAATCTGAATCCAATTTCAAGTACTACATTTTCAAATGTTAAAAAAAAAAATTGCACTAAAACACAATAAAAACGAATTTTTAAAGTCAATCCAAGTGTAAAACTGAAAGATCAACAGATGATAACAGCTAGCAGGGCACGCTCGCACAGTCAGCTGTTTACGTAAACAAGCTTGAAGTGAGCTAGAAGTTACTGTTTTTACTCCGTTTTACCTACCAGAGTTGTTTACATTTCAGACCATTCATGTTCGAAAAGGGGTCAAAATCTAAAAAATAATTGCAAATGAAGAATATTGGAGCTAAGATTTTCTACTAGTGGAGAATCTTTGGTTGAAGCAAAGGTGGCCATGAGGTTCTAAAAATAATCTCACAGCTACACACTGTGACTCTCACAACAAGGATTTCCTTTACATTAGTTACAGGAAAACCAGAACCTAGGCTGATCATGAGCTTAAAACCATAAGGCCCCATTGGTAGATCTAGGAGGGAATTTGTTAACTGTCATAAAACATTCACAAGTCGTCTAATTTGATAATCCCAGAATCAAAACTAAGGTATACCATACCCTTTCCTGTGAATGTGAAAACATGACTGAAAACCCATAACAAGACCTACACTTAAGAAAAGGACTAACAAGGATAGGATATCGAAAAGCCTTAAAAAAAGGATAGTTACAATCTTTATTAATCTCGCAAAGAGAAATTCGTCTCGGTCATTTACAATGGCAGTGGTGTTACAAAAAACAAATTGCGGCCCAAAATATAAAGCTGTCAGAGCTTAGATTTGTTGAAGGGGCATAGGGTCAAAGGTTCAAAATGCAAATGGCTCACCTGCTCATACTCTTCCGTGATTTGCTTTGGCTCTTCATGTCTCTGAAACCACATCATGTACTTGGTGTGAAACCTCCACGATTGTTTCTTCAATGCTTTTGCTGCCAAGTATTGAGCCTTTGTTCCCTGAAAAGAAAAGGAATACAACTTTAATAAAACAATTTGTGAGCGTGCCTGGTGAAAGGTACCAAAAGACGCATTTCCTCGAACCAAGATATCAGGCTTCAAAGGTCAGAAATAAAATTTTTGACAAAAACTAAGTTCCATTAAAAATGAATTCTTTAGCCATTTATCAGTGCTTCCATCAGCTGAAGCTGAAAAGTAAGAAAAATTCTGCTGGGGGTTTGGGGGCCGCCCAAGGAGAGAGCCCCGGTGGGGGTTCAGGGGGCGTTTTTTAAATAAAATTTTTAAAAAAATAGTAGAGTGTTTTACGGCACTCGTAACTGCATAAGGTCATATGAGTGCCAAGGGATGGGTGTCCCCCCTTTGGGAACGACCTAAAGACACTACAGTCAGTGGCACTGCCCCGGGGGGAAGAAGCAACTGGAATTGATAGCTTTTAGAGTGTTGAAAATGGCATTTGGGAGCCTGTTTGAAGAGATTGCCTACAAACCACAACATTTATTTTTTCACCAACATTTTGTCCTGTTTGCTTTCTTCACCAAGATCAACATAATATATTTCCATTGATGGCAATGTTTAAAAGCAGCTTCCCATTCTATTGCTACTATAATTCAATTAACTTGTCATTGCACCATGGATAGAAGGCAAACCTGGGAATAATGAATAGATATGAAATTTCAAAATACACTTACCCGGCGTATACCCTAATTTTCCTTAAATTTCACTTCTGAATGTTGCATGTCACAACCTCGGAACACCACTTCGAATTATTCTTGATTTTAGTAGTTTTAGGCTGGTTTTAGCATAAATTTCTTTCATCGTGGCCCTTATCGTGTTTCCATGCCGCTAAATCTTCGTATTGATCATTTCTCTAGATCTAGACAAATTTGTAGAAAAGTTTCTTTCTGACAGTAATTTTCTGTCTAAGATCACAAGTCAATTTACCTGATGAACGCGCAGACTTTCCAGTCGCGGCAACAATGCGAAGATAGACAGAAAGAATGAGTGAATGATAGAAAGGAAGAAATTGGCACAAAAGGTTCGCCACATTTTGATCCATCCACAGGTAAAAGTGTACTTCAGACCAACCCGCAATGAATGCATGGGGCATAGCGGAATAATGGCCGATAGCAGGAAATGCACAATCTGGCAGGTTTCTATAACATTAACTTATTGCCGAGAGAATTACCGTAAACATCCATAATTTATACTAGAACTAGACGATACGAAGGCGAGTACGGATCTTTTGCTATGGAATTTCTGTAGTCCTACGCTGTCGCAGCTTTTTACGGGGGGAGTTGATAATGATGGAGGAACAAGTACGGAACTGGCAGGAAGTACGGATTTCCGTAAAATACGGAAGAGTGGAAGCACTGTCTCCGAAGGCATGTCCTGTCCATGCGTCGACGCTGTGCTGAGTGTTTGGTCAAACGAAATGGCCACACCCAATTGACAATGTTCATGAAGAACTATGGCTGTTCAGATTTTAGAAGTCCGACCAGTGTGACTTAAACTCATTTTACATGAATTCCTCGTTGAAATCTTAAATTGTACACACTTAATCTAGAGAGTCGAAAGTATCTTTGTTGAAAAGTTCAGTAGGATTTATATAAATTAAATGCACGGAATTTATAATATTTCCTTCGGATCTCTCCAAAGTCTAGACATTCTGTTAAAATGTGTCTAATGGTAAAATCTGAGTCGCATCCGACACAGAACGGCTTCTCATCTCCCTGTAGGAGGTATTTGTGGGTCAGGGCCGTGTGTCCGATGCGCAATCGAGTAAAAATGACTTCGTCTCTTCTGGAGAGATCCGAAGGATTTCGCTGTTCTAGTTTGGGTTTAATTTCATATAATTTATTATTTTTCTGGTTTTGACACCTTTATCGGTATGGCGGTAGAACAGGCCCAAAATCAGTAACTACCGGAAAAATCAGTAGATTTAGGCAGCCCTGTGTATGTAAGAGATGTCAAATCTTAGTTAGTAGTATAGGGTTTTACGGCGCTCACGACTGCATAAGTTCATATGAGCGTGCAAAACAAGTTGGTCTTGTTCACAACAGTTCGCTGTACGGCTTGCTCGGGTCAGTAGTTAAATCTTAAAAATCAGTGTAAATATACATATATTTTCAATCTAAAATAATTTTTCTAGTTAACATAAAAATTTTAAATAGTACAATTTTACTTTACAATTTGCCATAAAGGCCAATGGACTTAATAAAATTCAAAATTTTGCTGGGACCAACGACGGAAAAAATGTCTTGCAATTTTTTGCATTTATAATATTTCCTTCGGATCTCTCCACTAGACATTCAGTTAAGATGTGTCTAATGGTATTAAAATCTGTGTCGCATCCGACACCGAACGGCTTCTCATCTCCCTGTAGGAGGTATTTGTGGGTCAGGGCCATGTGTCCGATGCACAATCGAGTAAAAATGACTTCGTCTCTTCTGGAGAGGTCCGAAGGATTTCGCTGTTCTAGTTTGGGTTTAATAACATATAGTTTATTGTTTTTCTGTTTTTCCCAGTGGAGGTGTCAAACCTTAAAACGAATGGACCGAGCCCAGCCATAGGTTCATCAGAGGTTCCTTAGAGGTAGCAGCACATGTTGCTCAGACTTAAGAAGTATGCATCATTTGAAACAGGCTGGGAACGGAAATATTGCAATATAACCTTAACTGTGAAATCAGGCGCTCGTCAAAATAATGATATCAAAGACATCAGCATATTTCCGCCAGTTTGACATCCCCCCCCCCTCCCAGATTTTGTTTTTCAGCTCAACAGCTTTTATGTCCATTGAACCCAATTAACCCTGCCTTGCTGGGGGGACCCCTGTCTGAACTAACCTTAGACACGCATTGTGCTGAAACTATTTAATATATCAAAAGGAAATTTCGCTTAGATTTTACTTTAAATGTTCTTTTAATATTATTAGAGTGAAAGATGAAGGAAAGAGGAGAGAAAACAAAATATTCTTCATCCATCTGCGACTCACCAGCCCTCGATTTAGCCATAGCAACTTATAGCAAATCTACGGCCTAGACCTAGTTTAATTTATATATTGAAATTTACAAGGACTTGATTTTTTAAACTTTAAAATACATTTTTAAAGATGTTTTCAACACAAGGTATATTGCATACCCCCCCCCCCCCAAAGTGTAAAAAAATTGGTTTCTCTTGTCTATTCATAGAGTCGACCCAATCACATTGCATACCAAAATTTAGGTCATTCTCTCCCCTTTCAAGAGGCAGGTAGTGAGCATAAATAATTCGAACATGTAAACAAAGTGAAGCTTTGCGCATCCAAACCCTTTCGCTTTTTTGGAGAGCAAACTTGAGTCGCTAAATCTCTTTCTTGAAAATTTTTGTTCAAGGTGGCGGTGAATTTGTTTTGAAGACGTAATATAAACACTTTGAAGCTGTTCTTTTGTCTAAGCTGCTTTTTAAAGTTGATTTGTGAGTAGCAAATGTGTCGTCAGGTCGTCTCAAAGCCGTAGATCTATCTTTTTGTAGCAGAAACAAACGGAAACTTTAAACCTGTTTTTCTCAAAACTTTGTTTCCGTACCCTGCCTTACAAAATCACCCTATCTTTTAAAAAAATGTTTTTTATAGTAGAGGGTTTTACGGCGCTCGCAACTGCATACGGTCATATGAGCGCCAAGGGGTGGGTGTCAACAGAGAAGTCCTTACAGGGAATCAGATTTACTCTGCTCACCTCTCTAGCTTCAACAGCACAAGGTCTGCTTCAACTATCAGGGCACCCCGGAAATAGCAGGTCACAAGAGTGTGACAAACACACAAGAGAAGTAGAGGAAAAAGACAATAGTAAGGATTAGGGAAGAAAAAGCAACAGTTCCCTGTTGTAGATCAGGCACAGTTATGAGCGTGACATGATGAATCAGCCCATTTACAATTCTACTGTGCTTGAACGAGAAATGTTCCCCCTTTGGGAATGGCCTAAAGACACTAGTCAGTGGCACTGCCCCGGGGGTATCCATATATAAAAAATAAAACCCCTGTTTAAAATTTAAAAAGCGCATTGTCCAGAAAAGATCTCTGTACTTGAAAATGCCAAAAAAAACCCCGGGATTCTTCAAAATGCGTCATTTGGTACCTTTCACCAGGCACAAACACATTTAACGATTACGATTACTACCTTGAATTACTTTACATAACAGCTGTATACTGTCTGATAGCTTTCTGAACAGAGTACGTATTATTAGGACAGAACTGAGGACATTTTGGAATGCAGACTCTCAGCTGCAAGACAATTTTTAACTCACTGGCTACCCGCCATATTTGTCTTTGATGTACCCTGTGCACCTGCCATTTCAATGTGTTTTCCAAACGATCACTGTGACAAAACTAACAGACATAAAGACACGAAACCTTGCACACGTATTATGGGTATTATAAAAATTGCAAGGGCAACAACAGAATGTGATTTCTTCTTTCACCTAATTTTCAGAAAACAAATCAGTTGTGAATTGTAAGCAACTTAAATGTTTACCCATGGAGAACACAAAAAAGGACTGGCGATGGCAACAGTCTGCCCAATTGTCACAGCTTATTACAGCCAGTAACTCTCCGTGTGATAAACACAGAAACATTATCCTACGCACAACGGCACTTGGCACTCAGAGAACCAGAAGTGCATTCCTACCCATTTCCTGCTCTTTCGCTGTGGAAGTGGTTGTAGTTTCTAAAAGCAGTAGTCATTTTTTTTTTTTTGGTAAGTGTTTTATGGCACTCGCAACTGCATAAGGTCATATGAGCATGCGGAACATGCCTAACATTTCAGTTGGTAGGAAATTTTGAATTTTGCCCGGGTGGCGGCCAAAGCCTACTTTTATCGATTTTGGACCACCAAGGAATCTTTAACGTGCCCAACTTGCACATGGCACCTCTGAGATTTTTCGCCCGTGTCCCAGAAGGCTAAGTGTAGATATTTCCTACAAGAAGATCAGGGGTGTGGCTGAAAGACAACAGTAAGTGGGAGCCAAGGAGAAGCAGAGGAAAGGCTGCAGAAAGAGTCAGAAGCCCAGACAAGGGGGCAAAGGAGAAGAGGGGTGGGGGCAGAAAGTGGAGACGAAAGCAGACCGCAGTATATTTCAAGAGAGCAGGAAAGGGGGTGAAAGGAGACAATTTTAGAGACGAAAATTTTTCCATCGCTACCCGGATTCGAACCCGGGACCTTGGAATGAGAGGCAAACACCTTAACCTCTAGGCCACGAGAGCCCCCAAGCAGTACTCAAGCCACATACGCTGAAGCAATAATGCGAAAAAAACCCCACCCCTCTGAACTAAAAAAACCGCACAAGCTTCGGCAAAGGGAGTCATCAGCAACAGAACTATGACTGCGCTATCATAAAAAAAATGATGATGACTATCACAAAAAAAGACAAAAAATCAAAATAAGACCAAGGAAAACCCCCCCCCAATAAAGTATTTTTCTTCAGTAAAAGAAAATGACTCATTACAAAGCTTGCGTACTCGCAATGTGAACCTGTAATTAGCAAAAGACAATGGCTGAAATTCTTCAGACATCACAATCAGGGTATTAAGCCTTGTTGCTTCACAAATCATTCCATGCCCCTAACAATTCTCATGAACTTACCTCCATATAGTAGAATATGAAGAAGAGTGTCTCCGTACTACACCGCTGATATAACTCAACAGTATCTGCATGAGGAAATGTAGCTGACGGGTAATACGTAGGTGTTGGACATGGATTGCGCGGCAAGAAGTGTCTGAAACAAAAACAAAAAAAGTAGAAAGGGATTGAAAGAACATCAAAATATTAGGTGTTATGCTCAACTCCTATCCTATTGGTGTCATTAAAAAAAAATCCCTCCTGCCAGTGTGTCATTTACACATCCCCAAATTTAACAAACATTTCCGTCCAGTCTTCCAAACCAATGTTTATAATATTGGTCGAGCGAAAAATAGACATGACGATACTTTTTTTTTTTGAGGGCGAAAATTTTACGCCTGAATGCGCATTTTTTGAGATCACATTGTGTCACACTTGAGTTTTGGATTTATAACTAACCCACTCACTTCCAAATCAAGACTTAAATCAAATCCCTTTACAATACACTTTCTTTTAATTCTAAACAACAGCACAGATTTAACTCTGAATCCATGAAATTAATTCTGGCCCAAACGAGTTAAAAACCCCAAGATTAAAAAAACAAAAGAAATTCATTCTTGGAAGTAAATGGCAGAAAACAATGAACTTATAAAGATGAGCCGCATACATGAAGTCGGTATTCGTGAAGATCTTCCTCGGGTGACCTTGGTAAATCTTTTTCAATTTTTTCCCTTTTTTTTTTGTGGTTTAGAATCTAATTTCTAAAAATATCTAACATATCTATATATCAAGTACTGGAAATCCCACCGCTTTAAAAGCTCTGAAACCATATGAGGAAACTAGGAACAAAATTCTTGCACCAGAACAAGAAAAAATAGTAACTACGGTAAAATTACTCCGACCCTATAATGTTCCAAAACATTCTCAGCTTCCTGAGAAGCTTAGGTAGGACAGTAATAATCACCTCATTCTTTCGGAGTCCGAGGGGTGCGGAAGGTGGTGGTACGCTGCTTCCAAATTGGACAACTGGTAGTGTTGGTCTTTCGTGAGCTGGATGGGCCCCAGGGGAGCCATCCCTAACAAAGGGTTTAAGTGGATTGTGTTTGTCTGAGGAGCCTGAGGCATTTGCTGTTGCGGCAACTGTGATGCCAGCTGGGCATCTGTGAGAGTAACTGAACACGGCTCTGACGATGACGGCACAGTGGGCGTCTGGCTTGAGGGTGCAGGAGATGAATTATTGTATGCATCTGTGAGAGGAGAAAGGGAATGTCACTACATTGTACAAAAAAGATAAAATAAATCAGTGCTCAAAAACAAAATTCAATCAGCGCTCAAAAACAAATTTTTAACATGCTGGACCCCCCTAAACAAAAATCTACCAAACAAACAAGTACCCACCGCATTCCTATTCTCCTTTAAAAAATTGGAAACCTAAAAAAACAACAACAAAAAAACATGACACAAAAGTTCTAAATAGTCTCAAACACAAAACTTTTCTTTTACAGGTTTTTCCAGGCTGGGAAAATAGGCCAATGACCCCTTTTGTTCTATCCATGAAATGTAAGAGCACACATATTGCTCAGGAGAGGAAAAACTGCGAAAAAAAACTTAACAATGTCTTGAGTCTGTAATATTTCTGCTTTCAATGTATTTACCTTTCAAATCAACAGACAAGCCTTTCTGTACACATGAACACTGCTTTGCCATAAAAGACAGCCTTGAAGAGTGACATGACATGCCAGTTAAGGCATCAGGACTGGCTGGCTCCATTCAAAAGAAAATTATTTACAGTACACGTTAGTTTTGAATCACACAGAGGAGAGCCACACAACTTGACCTCTTAGGAAAATTACGACTGACAATCCTCCAAGGAGTTGGTTCATCTAGTGTGGGAATAAATTTTAAGGCTTGACAAAATCAACTGGTCATTACCCTACAATTTGTTTATAAAATAAGACTGCTGAGAACAGCTCTGCTCACTGTGAGTGACTATCACTCAGGCCAATATTTAAAGAGTAGAAATCATAAGGTAAATATTCTGGGGGTGGGAGTGGGGGCTCTTTCAAAATTGACAGTCCCATTTTTCAATGAATGCTTCCGCATTATCAGTGACTTTATAAAAAATGGTGAAATACTGCTCCAGTGTCGCTTTACTAACAGGGCAATGGTTTATCTTTTAACAAATTCTGCACCAAAAACCCCTGGAGACATTCTTAATGATTCTTTTAAAGGACAGAAAATACATATCGATACACAGACACGATTTTCAATGTAGACATAATAATAAATTTACAACCTATTTCTATGCAGGAAAAATGCAAAACTTTCTCCTGCAAACAAATATTTTTTTTGTGTCAAGGAAGGGAGAAAAAAAAGAAAAGAAAAACAATTTGTAATACAAGCACAAATCTATACTCACTCAAAGAATCAACAGGAGCATGAGATGAAGGCATAATCTTTTCAAGTTCAGCATTTGCTATGACTTGCTGTGCCATTGTTCGAAGAGACATCTGGTCATTCTGCAAGTGTGACAAGATCATGTTGTAGAGATGTTCAATATTTTCAGTCTGGTGAGAATAACCACTATGTTTCTGCAAGGAGCGAACAAGTAAGTACAATAACAGCTAAAAACATCGCTTTCTACCAGCTGAAGCTGAAAAGTAAGGAAAATTCTGCGAGGGGTCTGGGGGCCAGTAGGGTCCAGGGACAGCGTCCCGATGGGGGTACAGGGGGCAAAATTGAAACTTAAGAGCTTTTAGAGGGTTGAAAATGGCATTTGGTAGCAATGACCACGAAAAATCTATATTCGCCAGAAAGTGTTTGCAAATAGGTGCATTTTGTAGCTGTATCTTCACAGAGCAGGGAACGGTTTGAATTTTTGAAATCCATCAATAAACAAAAAAGTTACGAAATTTTTAATCAATTAATTTTTGGTACACTTTTATACAATGAAAAATCCCCCAAATATGGGACGCTCTGTGGTGAGTTTTGAGACAATATTCGTCATAACTCGCTCATTTTCTAGTGCAGAATCTAGTCCTGCTTTCAGATTTTTCATAGCTATCCCATTTTTTGAGTTATGAAGACGTTTATAGGTAAAAATGTGGCGGTTTTCGGTGCGTTTTGAGACAATATTTGTCATAGCTCGCCTATTTCTTGGAATATGTAAATGAAACTTGGCAGTCTAGTACATTTTTTAATGCAGAATCTTGTCATGCTGTCAAGATTTTTAATATCTGTCATACTTTTTGAGTTTTAGAGACATTAACAGGTAAAAAAGTGGCATTCTTTACAGATTTACAAAGATTATCAGTAATACATGTTCTCCCAAAAGTCATGATATTTGAATGAAACTTGGAAACATAAAAGGTTCCTCCTTGCCAAGCAATGCTCTGGATCAATTAGTCACAAAAATGTAAGTAGAGAGCAGGATTTATGTCTAATAAATCCAGCTACTAGTAAAAGCATGCATACTTTGTTATATAAAGAAAATAAGATCGTCTCTGTGTACATCCATTGTTGGACAGTGTCCTATTGTGTGGTAGATTAAGATGCGTTCAGATAATATAGTTTACAAGTCATGGGAATATTTTGCATGCGTAGGCTACAACTCATACAATAAATGTAACATATTTACACCCTCCCCTTCTCTCTCTCTCTCACACACACACACACGCACTCACGTGTGAACGATAACAATGTATAAACGGGACTATCTTCCCAGACTGGACTAAATAAGTACCATACTCTTTAATAACAATCTTAATGCCTCACTTTTCCAAACAGAGCACACGGGACGAGTCCAAGTGTGTGCTTTCCCAAGAGGGCGGAATAGGCTATCATAACGCAAACACAATGCCATACCATTTCTCAAGATGTTTGCTTTTCTGTTTCTATTCTTCTGTCATGCAATCAAGCAAATAAAAACGACTACATCTATTGTATTGTGACTAAAATGCAACAAAAACGAAACTTATCAAGGCCCCCGTTTAATTTCCACTTAGTGACGTCATTAGCCATCCGTCGCCTCGGCCGCTACAAACGAGGCCCCGCTTATGTGAACCGGAAAGGGCGACCGATTGCTGATGACGTCACTAAGTGGAAATTTCCCAGCCGCCGGTCGTTCACTCAGCACGCGCAAATGGCAATGCCGTTTTTTCCTTTAGTTACTCCCACATTTTTAAAGATTAGGCGAAAACCTCTAAACACAGAAGCATGAAATTTTAAGGGAATAAAGAAAAATGGTGTACAATGTATCAGTCAGTTTGACAAATCACAGCTCCGAAAAATCTTCAAAGCGCACCACATCAACCACTTTCGCAAACGTTTTCGACTGCTTCTTGAATGGGTACGAAGTTGTCAAACTGGATACTACGAGATTGACCTCTTTTCTGATTGGCTGCCAAGTTTCATTCATATCCATTCACAAAAGCGGTGTGAGAGCGAGTTGAAGACAACAACCTTTGCGTTAGTGCGTCCCGCGAAACACCCCCGCTGCGGGGGCCAAAAATCGGCACAACAAAACGCACTCGGTGGGCATTGCTACATTTGGGAACCCGTTCGAAGATATTGACTACAACCCATTACATTTGTTTCCTTTGTTTTTTCACCAACATTTTGTCTTGTTTGATATCTTCACCTACATATCTTTCAATTGCTGACAATGTTTAAAAGCAGGTTCACCTTCCATTGCTACTATAATTACTATAATTCAATTAATTTGTCATCGCACCACTGATAGAAGGCAAACCTGGAAATAATGAATAGATATTACTTTCACAATAGTTACCCAGCATATACCCTAATTTTCCTCAATTTTCACGTCTGAATGTTGCACGTCTGAATGTCGCACGTCACAACCTCGGAAAACCACTTTGAATTATTCTTGATTTTAGTAATTTTAGCATAAAAAATTCTGTCATCGCAGCCCTCGTCGCGTTCCCATGCCGTAGAGTCTTCGCATTGATAATTTTTCTAGATCTAAATTTTTTTTAGCAAAAGTTTGTTTCTGACAGTAATTTTTTGTCTAAAATCACAAGTCAATTAACTTGATCAACCCGCAGATTTTCAAGTCGTGGCAACAATCCGAAGATAGAAGGAATGAATGAGTGAATGATAGAAAGGAGGAAATTGGCACAAAAAGTTTTGCGAGATTTTGATCAATCTGCAGGTAAAAATGTACTGCCGACCAACCCGCAATGAATGCACAGGGCATAGCGAAATAATGGCTGATTACAAGAAATGCGCAATCTGGCAGGTCTCTATAACATTAACTTATTGCCGAGAGAATTAACGTAAATATCCGTAACTTATACAAGAAGATACGAAGGCGAGTACGGATCTTTTGCTATGGAATTTCGGTAGTCCTACGCTGTTGCAGTATTTTACTGATGGAGTTGATAATGATGGAGGAACAAGTAGGGAACTGGCAGAAAGTACGGATTTCCGTAAAAATACAGAAGGGTGGAAGCACAGTGAAGAAAAAAAAAGTCACATCACATGTGTGTGTGCCTGGTGAAAGGAACCAAATGACGCATTTTGAAGAATCCCGTTTTTTTGCCTTTTCATGTACAGAGATCATTTCTGAACAACATGCGTTTTGAATTCTTAAGATATCTTCAGTAGTTTTTGAGATATGGGAGATTTTACAAGGCAGGGTATGGAAACCAAGTTTTGAGAAAAACGGCTTTAAACAGAGAGATCTATGGCTTCTCGACGACCTGACAACACATTTGCTACTCACAAACCAACTTTAAAAAGCAGCTAAGACAAAAGAACAGCTTTAAAGTGTTTATATTACCTCTTCAAAACAAATTCACCACCACCTTGAAAAATTATTTTTAATAAATAGATCTAGGCTAGGTTTGTGCAAGGCAGAAAAAAGCGATATATGTACAAGTCTGCTCTAAAAAAAAAGCGAAAGGGTTTGGATGCGCAAAGCTTCGCTTCGTTTACATGTTCTAGATATTCATGCGCACTACCTGCGACTAGAGAGGGGAGAGAATGACCTAAATTTTGGTGTGCAATGTGATTGAGTTAACTTTAAGAATGGACAAGAGAAACCATCCGATATGTTTACTCAGAAAACAAATTTTCTTACGCATTTCTAGGGATTATACAAAATACCTCGCTTTAAAAATCTATTTTAAGGTAAAAGAAACTAAAGTGCTTGTAAGTATTGATATATGAATGGCTAAAGAATCCATTTTTAATGAAACTTAGTTTTTGTCAAAAATGTTATTTTTGATCTTTGAAGCCCGATATCTCGGTTCGAGCAAATGTGTCTTTTGGTACCTTTCACCCGGCACGCTCACATATTTATAGTTGGTAAAATGTTACAGCCATGAAGAACTATGGACCCCTGAACTCCACAGAAATTCCGGATGTGAAAAAAAAAAAGGCTAATGAACCAAATTCATCACTGAACAAGAAGACTTGGAAATCAAACACAACTCCAATGAAAACCAACCTGACCAAAATTATCATGAACCCCAAAAAAGCCATTATACGACAATTGAAAAAGCATGTCTTCTCTCACCTTGGAAGGACCACCAGCACTGAGCGGGCCATTCATGACTGGCGGTACGTCCGTCCGGCTGTTGAGGACCTGAGAGGAAGTGATGCCTGACGAAGCTGACGAGTTGACGGAACTGAGCGCCGGCGTAGCTGCCACAGCCAGGGTCTGTGGTGATGGCTCCGACGGCACGCTGGGATTTCCCGAGGAAGTCAGAGAGACAGAGTTCGTGTTTGTAGTGCTGGACAGGCCAACACTACTCGACAGGCTTCCCGACGCGGCATGGTCAATTGAATTCACATGAGGTCTTGATGAGTCTGTTAAAAAAACAAAACAAATCCCAATATATTTCTGCCTTTTAAACCATTGTTCAGTTAGAACAGAGACCTTTTTCAGTACTGCTGTTACAATTCATTTTCAACATGTGATCGATATAACTTCTAGCATGAAACCAACCTGGCACCGACTTAGTAAAGACAGGGTCCCACCAAATCCTGGAAAATTTTTTTCAAGACTCCAATTCGAGGGAAAAATAAGGCCGTCTATCAATGATAAAAAGTCAACATGTCTTTAAATGAATGCATATATGTACTAAGTACATTGTAACATTTTGTAGCATGGTCTTTAAACAATAGATTATAGTACTGGGTGACTGCCAACCCAGCTTCTCAATTTTTCGGGTTTGAACTTTCCACCCAACAAAACATTCCTTCGTGAAATTTCAGTTTTTCATAAACTCTTATCACAACTAAAATAAAATATTATTTTTTCAACCTAGTGTGGCATCTGTGTTTTAAAATGCATGTTTTAAAGCCTAACATTGGTCAAATATCACTCAAACGTAAACTATCAGAGAAACTTCAATGGCCGCAGCCAGGGCAGGGTAAATTTTCATGTGGGCCCACATGCGGCCGAATCGGCCGCCCCGAGGACAGGCTTTACAGCAAAGTTACTGGCCGCGGCCAGAGTCCAAAATGATAGCGCCTGCATTATGGGACTAGTGCTATGACAGGTTGGCCCCGTGTCAGTATACTGTGACAGGAGGGGATAATAAGTTCTGTTACATTTCATATCCCAGTGTAACAGCACGTTAACTTGCCAAAAACACCTACTGGTTTTAATTAGATGTTAAGCGGCAGCAAAAAACCCTCAAGTATGGCATGGACTGAACACTAATCTATCAAAAATAATGTTTAGTTTTAGTAGAGGTTTTACGTTGCTCGCAACTGCATAAGGTCATATAAGTGCCGAAGATTTGAGGTGTTACAAGAGAGTAACAAACACAAAAAAAGAAGGGGAGATAGGGGCGATGGATTTTTTATGGGAAAGAAAGAGCAAACCACATAAGAGCACCCGCCAACCACCCGCAAAATAATGTTTTCTTCAGGTCTCAAAATGAGTGGAAAACCAAAGGGGACAAAACAAGTTTTTGACAATGTGTAACAAGCAGTCAGTGAAGGGACGGGGAGACGCCAAGTCAATCTGACACTGAAAGTAGTGAAAGATCTCTTCGTTCTTACTACTTTGCAACGCAGGAGTAATGGCGGCAAGAGAAAGACATTGCTGGAAAAGCTTCCATCGCTCATCAGTGGGAAAGAAATTACTGACTCTCTAATCAACAAGAAGAGAAAGATCAAAACGAAAGTGAAGATGGAAATGAGAAAAGTGGACAGACCCAAATGGAAGACGCGAAAAGAAAGAGAAAAACCGCGAGAGGAGCTAAAGAAGCAAAGTATAGAAAGAAAATAGAAGGAACATGCAAGAAAGAGAGGAGACTAACCAAGGAGAAGGAGATGGAGAATAAGAAGAAGCTAAAGTTAGAAGTAAAAGAAAAGAAGTCCAAAGCGAAAGGAAAAAAATCCAAGAAGAGGTAGAGCGATTCAGACTATGATAAGGCATCGTGTGAGTACCAGCCGTCTGAGCGTTGTGACGTATATGACTCCGGAATGGGAGGTGGTGGTGTAATGATTTTTTAAAATAGATATATGCGGGGGGTGGGGGCTGAAGGCAACGCTAGAGGACGAAAACTGAACTTGGAAGCAAATTTTTAGTATTTTGAATTTTGATAACTGCTAGACTAACTTGACCACTTGCGGCCATGAGTGAACACCCCCCCCCTCCCCCAAGCTAACACTGCCTCTGCACTAAGAGGTTCCCAGCTTAATTTTCGTGGGGGGGGGGGGAAGAAAGCCACAGGAAGGGCCCTGACCTGGTGGGGATTTTCATCATCATCAATGCCTTTCAGCCCTGGCAGAGTATAGGCCACATACAAGCTCCTTCCATTTATCTCTGTCCTGGGGCATCCTTCCAAGCTCGTTCCAAGTGAGCTTCATCTCTTTCATGTCCCTTTCCACGCACCTCCTCCATGTTTCCCACGGCCTGCCCTTGCCTCGTGCTCCTTGTGGGTTCCACTTCAGTGACTGTCTTGTGATGTTTCCACTGGACTTTCTTAAGGTGTGTCTTCTCCATCGCCACTTTCTTAGTCCTATTTCTACTTCTATATCCTTTTGTCCTGTCCTTTCTGACAGGTCTTCCTTTCTTATTTAGTCCTGCATGTTTGCCGACAATCGTCTGAAATCCGACAAATGCGACCCGACCGATGCTATCGCGAGGCCCACCTGTATTTGTCAATGTGCGAAGTGTGAGGCCTGGCTAACTGCCAGCGTCCCCTTTTTCTCCCGTCGGCACTTTAAATTTCGTACCGACCGCCGACGTCTCCGACATAATTGTCGGAACCTGAGTAGAAATACGAATACGAAAAAGGACGACGACTCAGTTTCGTTCTTGAGCGGCCATTTTGAATTTCATTTGTTGACCGATTGTTCAGATCATGTGGATTCATTCAAGTCCGACTCACTTGTTCTACTAGATCTAGATTTATAGATCACTACAGACCTTAATGGAGGATTCATATTCCAATTCTATTGTTTCAACAAACCCTATCATAGGTTGTGCTGTAATATTAATGTTGGTAAAAAGCATTTCATCAGGTGCATGAATTATTTATTTAGAATCTAGACTCAGCTGAGTCCCTCTGTTCGGAATCGGATTTCTCATCCAAGGCCTCTTCTTATTCACTTGTTTTACTAGATCTAGATCTATTTAGATTACTAGACCTATATGGAGGATTCATTTTCCAATTCTACTGTGTTATTGTATCAAACCCTATTATAGCAATGTACGCCATATTATGCTCCTTGTTTATTTTGGAGTGTTCTTTAAAATCATTTTGGACTTGTGCTGACCTTTTTACATGAGGGCCGTTGCAGGTTCTTTTTAGGGTAGGCCCAGGGGTAGTGTTTGGGTTAGGGTTAGGTCTCTTCTTTATTGTGGTTGTTGGGGTGGTCGCTCGTAACTCAGAAGTCCTTCCTGCCTTTTATGACACTCACAAAAGCTCTTATGGGGGGTACAATATTTTCAGACAATCTGGTTGAGGCTCACATGCAGGTCTACTTATTCTATCCAGCCACTTAATTCTTAGAATACTCCTCATACATCTGTTGACGAAAGTCTGGACTTTATTCAGTACTGTCTTTGTTGTCTTCCAAGTTTCGCAGCCGTAGAGGAGCACAGACTTGACGTTGGAGTTAAAAGAGTCGAAATTTGGTGCGCTGTGAGATGTTGCTTGCTTTCCAGACTTTTGATAATTGATTGAATGCTGACCTTGCCTTGGCAGTTCTGGCTTTAACTTCTGCCTCGGTACCACCTTTACCATCGATGACACTTCCAAGGTAGGTAAAGGAGTGCACTTCTTCCAGGGGAGTGTCTTCCACTGTGACAGCAGGGCTTGAAACTTTTCCTAGCTTCACTACTTTTAACTTGTCTGGATGTATACGTGGGCCAACACTCCTTGATAGGCTGTTGAGTTCCTTGGTTTTTTCTTGCATATGAGCATGTGAGTGAGAGAGCAGTGCAAGGTCATCGTAAAAGTCCAAGTCGTCCAGCTGCTGCCAAGGGATCCACTGTATTCCATTATGTTTGCCTCTGGTGGCTTCTTTCATGACCCAGTATGAAGAGAAAAGGTGAGAGCAAGCATCCTTGTCGCACTCCTGTCTGTACCTGGAATGGTTCTGAGAGTTGTCCTTCAAGGAAGACTTGGCAGTTTGTTCCATCATAGGTGGCCTTCACAAGCTTGATGATTTTGTCAGGTATTCCAAAATGTCGCAGGCTGGAAACTTAAAAGATTTCAAGTATAGAGTGCAGTGGGTGTTTTCTGCATAACTTCGGCCTACCACTTCGCAGCCAGCTGCACTGAGTGCAGCTGGTGGCAAGCCATAGGTGCGGCCGAATCCATCCCCTTTAGGCGGCCAGGCCTTAAACAAGCTTTAAACGCTTGAAAACACGACAAACGTATCAGGTGCAATTCGAAATATAGTTGGCTTACTTTCAAATTTAATGAGATTCAATAGACTCTTGATTAGAGCATGCAAAACGAAATGGAAATCAATGACAAAGAGTGCAAACAGGGACTTTTAAAATTAAAAAATGGTACATACAACTTAAAAGGGGGCTCTCGTGGCCTAGAGGTTAAGGTGTTGGCCTCTCATTCAAAGGTCCCGGGTTCGAATCCGGGTAGCGACCGAAAAATTTTCTTCTCTAAAATTACCTCCTTTCCTGCTCTCTAGCAATGTTCTGTTGTCTGCTTTCAATTCCACTTTCTGCCCCCACCCCCTCACCTCCTTTGCCCCCTCCTCTGGGCTCCTGACTCTTTCTGCAGCCTTTCTACTGCTACTCCTTGGCTCCTCCTTACTGCTGTCTTTCTGCCACACCCCTGATCTTCTGGTAGGAAAGATCTACACCTAGCCTTCTCGGACAAGGGCGAAAAATCTTGGAGGGCCCGTGTGCAAGTTGCGCACATTGAAGATCCCTTGGTGGTCTAAAATCGATAAGAGTAGGCTTCGGCCACCACCCGGGCAAAATTCAAAATTTCCTACCAACTGAAAATATTAGGAGTGTCCCACGCGCTCATATGACCTTATGCAGTTGCGAGCGCCGTAAAACACTTTACAAAAACAAAAACCCCCCAAAAAATACAACTTAAATGAGATTCAGTCTACTTTTGATCAGAGCATGCAAACAAAAAGGAAATCAATGACTGCTTATGCAAAAAGTGCAAGGATGGTAGTTCATTGTTTAAGACACATTTTTCTTACTTACTGTAATTAGAAATTATGATAAATAAGAAAGATATGAGCTTTTTTTATAGCCATGTTGAAAATTAGCATTAAAAAAACCCAACCTAGCACAAAAGGGAAGTAATGGTAAAAATGGCTTAGCGTTTAAAGGGTCAACAGCTTATTTCACTTAACAATGATATTTCACCCCTGTATTCCTTGCCCTTCAGTTATGTTTCCTCTTCATGATTCATCAACCATACTGTCTACATAGCTACAATAATACACAGGCCCTATCCTTTCCCAGACTTTCATAAAATTCCTCACCTGGTGGGGACCCTGTAAAGACATAATTGATAGATCTTTCCCAACAAATTTTCAAAACAGCAAGAAGGTATTGAAAGGACAAATATCTTGTTTAAATTCTAGAAGAACACGAGAAGACAATGTCCTAACATGTATGACACACGTTCAGTTAAAAACCCCCAACCAAAACCATTACTAATTCGCAACATTGTCTCACCTGAAAAGTAAAGATTCACTTCCACCCCACTGACCCACAAGAAAAAGTAGCTTTACAAGTAAGTAGTAAAAATAATAACAAACAGCTCAAATCTCGTGTCATGACCTGCATTGTCCATAAAGGTACGGAAAAGACTATAACTTGTAAGCATTCTTTAAAAAAGTGTCCAGCAGTGCCAATTGAATTTTAGACAGGCAATCACTGCGGCATGCAAGATAAGTTAGCTAAAACTCAACAAGGCTACCTCAATATCTTACAGCAAAATTAAGCTGTCCTAGTAGCATATATGTAATTTTTTCCAGGTTCTCAGCCGATCTTAATGTAGATTTTTTCAAAACATTAGCACCTATATCAGAACCAAATGACATTAATGTCGAGTTGATCAAAGGAATAAACAGGATATAAACATATCACTTAAGTGATATCTTTGCAGCCCAGATTTAACGTAACAGACTATTTTTACGATAAATGAAAAAAAACAAAACAACAACTCAAAAACTATTTTTTTTGGAGAAAAACAAACATCACACACTCCTGCAAAGTGCACAAACGGCAAGTGAATACAAGCTACACTGTGAGAAAAGTAAAAATAACAAAGTAAATGCATGTGAAATCTGATAAAAGCACTGTTCCATCCAAAAACACAAAAGTCTCGTATGAATTAGCTTTAGGATCAGCGATGATAACACCAAGGTGCTAAAGAGGAGAAAATTTAATTGAACCATGAAATATATAGGTGGGTTGACAAATGACATGCACTAATGTATAGGTGGCAAAGTATATTATCCATCTACACATAGTACTTTCAGTCTTCACCTCAATTAGGTCTTTCAATTAAAATACAAATCTTTTGAACAAGACTGTTTTGTCCAAATTAATCTCTTTGAAAAGAAGATCAAGACGAAGCAGTTTCTGATTGCAAAGTGCATGGAGGTCAAGCCAGCAAAGTATTAACATGAGTACAGGATCTACTTTCTTCTACGTTCTGTCTGGTTTGGAGAAACTGAGATCACAAATAGAGATAGAGGCAAGTACAAAACCGGTGATAGGGTTCGAGGAGTAATCTGAAGCTACATCTATATCATGCATTCTAAACAAGAATATAACCATTCCTAACAAAGTCTACTGCATAAAACAAGCAGACATGATGAAAGGAGAAGAATATAAGATGCGATGGTACAAGCATACATAACGGTGCAAGGAGAGGAGGAAGGGAGAAACCCTCATCGCTAAGTCCTCTTTAAGTTTTTCTTGTTACAGGTGCCTGATTATATATTTGTATTTTGAAGGAAAACCAGCACGATTTTTTCCACTCAAATAGGTCACACTTGTCACTCACAAGAATGTGCTGGTCTTACCACCAAGTAAAATACTTGACACATTCAGGCCACGCTGCCAAGCACTGGGCGAGGGTGGAGTGCAGGGACAGCCTATACAGACAACACATTACAGCTATACAACTCTGACAAAAGCATCTTTGTGTGTCTAAAAAACTACTATAGATAGAGTAATTACTTGGCCAAAAATATTTAAACAACTTCAATCAGTGCTTCCAACAGCAGAAGTTGAAAAGCAAGGAAAATTCTGCCGGGGGTCTGCCCAGCAGAGCCCAGGGACATCACCCCGGTGGTGTTCAGGGGGCGAAGCCCCCCCAAAGAAATTGAAATTTAGTGCTTTTAGAGGGTTGAAAATGGCACTGGGAGCCTGTTTGAAGAGATTGCCTACAACACATAACATTTATTTTCACCAACATTCTGTCTTGTTTTCTTCACCTACATCTTTCCATTGCTTGCAATGTTTAAAAACAGGTTTCCCTTCCAGAATCCATTGCTACTCTAATTCAATTAATATATCATCGCACCATTGAAATAAGGCAAACCTGGGAATGATGAATATATAAGCACCTTCACAATACAGTTACCCAGCGCATACATCCTAATTTTCCTTAGTTTTCACATCTGAGAGCTGTATGCCACAGCGGCCCTTTCTTTCCTGTGCTGCAGAATCTTTGCATTCACAGTTCTCTAGATCTAGACAAATCTGCATAATAGTTTCTTTGTGAATGTAATTTTCTGTCTAAAACCACAAATCAATTTTCTTGATCAACGCGCAGATTTTCCAGCTGCAACACAATCCGAAGATCAGAAGAATGAGAAAATGATAAAAAGGATGAAATTAGCACAGATTTTGATCAATGTGAAGGTAAAAATGTACTGCTGACCACCCCGCAATGAATGGATGGGGTCGAGTGGTGTGATGGCCGATAGCAGGAAATGAACAATCTGACAGGTTGCAATAACATTTAACTTATCGCCGAGAGAATTGCCATAAATATCCGTAACTTATACAAGACGATAAGAGGGCGAGTACGGATACTTTGCTACGCAATTTTGGAAGTCCTATGCTGTCAAACTTTTTTACAGAGGGAGTTGATAATGATGGAGGAGCAAGTATGGATTTCCGTAAAAATACGGAAGATTGGAAGCACTGCTCTGTGTCATACAAACAGCATGAGGCTAAGGAAACTGAAAAATAATTAGAGAGGAAAAAAAAAAAGCCATGCAAATGCAAACTTTTTGACAGAGCTATCCATCCATGAACATAATAAAATCAACACCCATTACACTTTAAATGCTACTTTCATGGCCATATTTCATACACAAGACTGCCTCAAAGGTAGACTACATAAAACAGAATTCCCCATAATAAGACAAAGATAATCCTAAGAGGAGTAGTAATTGGGCAACAGATAATGTACAGTGAATCCTTACTGTAACGGCCAAACTCCCTAATCAACAGACGTGTTCAATAAGCACAGTGAAACAAGGCTTTAGTAGCCGACTTCAAAAACCAAAAACCTGCTCAGAGAGATTGTCTTTTTGAGATGAGGCTTTCTACCAATAGGCTATTCTATAAGTTAAGCTCATAAAAATTATGCCACACCCATACATTTCTACAGTTGGTTAAATGGTGCAGTTTAAAAAGTATCATTCAGAAAAAAGAGACAACCACACCAGAGTACCCCTTAAGCCTCAAGCAGTTATTGTCTTCTAAAAGCTTTATACATGTTATCACAAGCAGGAATCATAAGGACCAGTTCTGCACTACCAAAATACAAACTCAAAAATACACAGACAGAAAAAAATCAAAACAACTATGTCAAACACTGAGTAGGAAGTCATCAAACCCACCAAAACTACAACCTTTGTGGAAGAGAACAAAATACATCTTTTACACCAAACCCAAAGGCAAGATAACCGAGCACCAGAGATAAAAAGACATTGTTGACGTTCTCGACTTACCCGATGAGCTGTTATGTTGCCCACCTGCTGCTGCAGCGTACGCTGTCAGAGGGGACACTGTTGTCGATGAGTGATGATTACTATTCACAGAGTTGCTGTCAGAGTTTTGTGCTTGGCTGTTGCTGCTGAGAGAAAAGACACAAAAGAGACAGGATAAGTGTATGCAAAAAAAAGCCAAATATCCCATCCCATATTTATGAAAACCTGCTTTTGAACTTTTTATTAAACACAACTAAAGTCTCATTTGCTTTGTGTTGGTTGTGACCTCAAACTCAATAACAGAAAATAGATCAGTGGTTTCTGGCTTATAGCAGGCACCTCGAATGACAAAAAATCCCATACTCTTACGTGAACGTGCTATCAAGCAAATTTCGAAAGTAAGAATTCTGTCATTTTATCTGCTGTGGGTTGTGTCACCGAGCTGAGCTTGCCCTGGGCTGTGAAGTCCTCCTACGCCAAATGATCACAAAGACTATCATAATTATAGCACAGCTCTCTCACCTGACACACATGACGCATCACTGGCCATTCTCGCTCCATATCCCAATACATCTTTCTTTCCCAAAGCAAAGCAGCAACTTTTAAGTACTAAAGCAGTGTTTGCTTCCTTTTATCAGTTCTCTCTCTCTCTCTCTTCTGGTGCTGGGGCTTCATAAACGGTCAGCGATGCCGACAGCACGCAGGAACTCAACACTTGCCTGGGGGTCCTTAAAATGTGCTGAAAGTGGGTTACTGAAATGTCCCAGCAGACGGGTTCAAACATGATAACCGTCTTTTATCAGTTCCAAACGATATCTTATTTTATGGCCGATCTATTTCTGACCCTAGCGCAAGAATGACTGTGCTATTAGACGGAGTTGTCGATTTCGAACGAGCACTTGCGAGTAATAATTAAATGAAAAAAATTTGGTTGTGCCCTGCTTGAGGGCTATTGGCAGGAGACCACAGTTCTTGCTTTAAACTTGACTTTACATACCCCAAAACTAAATCCATTTTCTGTAAAATCAGAAATTCTGTTTTCCTTACTTTTGTGAATGTTGTCTCCCCAAAGATGACTGAGTCTTGTTGTTAGAGGTGCCTGATGGTGCTGGAGAAGCACCTTTTTTCTGTAGGGTAAAAACACAGAAATCAAATAATGTGGTCATTTAAAAAATGTAGACTTGCCACCAGAGAGTGAAACAACAACAACAAAACAAAACAAAGCAAAAAAATAAAAAAGGATAGAATTTCAAAAAGTTTGCAATATGTCGCAACCCCAGTGTTTTCTTGTCATATCTCTCCGTTTTTTTGTAAAAGTTTGACAGCACTTGCAACACAATAAGGTCAAATAAGTGCCGAAGATTTAAAAAAAAAAAATAGTAGAGGGTTTTACGGCGCTCGCAACTGCATAAGGTCATATGAGCGATTGAACGACAAGGGATGGGTGTCATCAGAGAAGTCTTTACAAGGAAATCAGACTTAGACTGCTCACCTCTCTAGCTTCAACTATCAAGGCACCCCAAAATAGCAGGTCACAAGAGAGTGACACAAACATACAAAAGAAGTAGAGGGAAATGACAATAGTAAGGATGAGGAAAGAAAAAGCAGCAGTTCCCTGTTGTAGATCAGGCACAGTTATGAGCGTGACATGAGTCAGCCCATTTACAATTCTACTATGCTTGAACGAGAAATGTTCCCCCTTTGGGAATGGCCTAAAGACACTTCATTCAGTGGCACTGCCCCAGGGGGAGAAGATTAGAGGTGTTACAAGAGAGTAACAAACATAAAAAAGAAGGAGGAAAGATAGGGACGATAGATTTTTGATAGGAAAGAAGCACACCACACCACAGCACCTGTCAACCACCCATGTCGTTTCTCCATTTTTAATAACAGTGACAACAGTTCATAACAAATAGTAAAGTTACGCTGTGTGGGTACTGTTTTCATTGTAAATTCACTTGCAATATGACGGCATGCATCTCAATGATATTAAAAAAATACAATAGTTGGGAGCTCTTGAACCCAGAAAACCTAAGCATCACTAGGACACATTTTGTGGTCAAATTGAACCCTTACACATACACGTGAGCCTACATGAAATAAGCCCCCCAACTCCTGCAGACAACCGTTGGATTTTTTTTATACCACTGCACGTTGAGGCCTTCATTCTCGCCTGTACTGTTAAAAAAGGTCAACTTCAAGAATATAACTTACAGATTAATTTGACCATGGCCTCATGACACTTAAAGTACATAAAGTCGTTGAATTGCCCTCGTTAATTAAACCTTCCCCCAAATGAAAATAAATGACAATGGCACAACAGACGACAAGAGCCATTTTATTCCATTAATTTACTGACTGGGAACTCCCCCCCCCCCCACCTGAAAAAAAAAATAATACAAAAAATCAAAAACCGTTGTCCCTGCCTTTGGGGGTACAGATTGGGACATTTAATTACATTTGCGGGGATGAACCCCCGGACTTGATTTATACCCTCAAGATTCTTAAAGAGATTTTTAAACATATATGTGTTTTTAAGCCTCTGTCAACACAAATTAGGGAGTTTGGCTTCCACCCCACCTGTCAGGGTCAACCAAGGCTGAAAGGGGTACAACTTCACAGCAGAAAGACAGAGATACTCAATAACAATTCTCCCCCAACAGGAAAACAAGCTCTTGTATTCTGCTTGTGACTACCAAGTGCCTCACTGCTACACCACAGATGCCCGCAAAGATAAGACCATTTTTCATTCATAAATATCTGCATCGGTAACCTACCTCTTCTGACTGAGATTTATGTCGCTTCCGATCAATTTCTTCATGTTTTTCCTGTGTATAAACAAAAGTAAATAGACACATGAGAACCTTGAACTGTGCAATCTCATCTTTCTCTTTGACAAACATAATCACATTATACCAATCAACAGTGAGTTATGTTTCTTCCATAGTTCATAGAGGACAATATAAATATCCAAAAAATAACAAGCAAAAAGAAAAACCAACTAAAACAAAACTAATATAGAAAACCCAACATAAGTTGGCTACTCTCCAGCAGAATCATTGCTGCCACCTTCTCAAAACCAAAGAAACATGTTTCAAACATTGTGAGTCAAGATGGTAGGCATTGGTCAGGTAAACGCCTCTAAACCATAACTACACACTTTTCCCGCATTCGATAATTTCAAGCTATTCAAAGTGAACCTGTAGCAAAAGATCTTTTCAATTGACTCACAAGCTTCGACCTCATTATTATTAGCAAATGTCTCGTCTTCAATTTTTCTTCAGCATCGGCAATTCAAGAAAACAAAACAAAAGAAAAATTTTCCGACAAGAAAACTGCTGAGCTCAGACCGAGAGACTGGTTAGCGACTAGTGCAGTGCGATTTTGAGGAAGCAAAAAATCATCGAAGCTTCGAAGTGTGAGCTCATTATTCATGACATTCGAATACCTCCGCCGAATTGTTTTTTTTCGTATATACAGTCGAACTTGCCCTGACGGCCACCTCGATACGACGGCCACTTTCCATTTCCCCCCTTGCGTTTTTTCGATATAATTTAACAGTGTAAAACGAGCACCTGTCCAACGCGGCCGCCATATTTTAACAAACAACCCCTATCACACTAAGCAATAACACCTGTCTTAGATGGCCACCTTAGTGACTCCATTACGTTTTGTCATAAACTGTCGGCACGAAAACGAAAGTGCCGACGGGAAAAAAGGGGGACGCTGGCAGTCGGCCAGGCCTCGCACTTTGCACGTTGACTGATACAGGTGGGCCTAGCGATAGCGATTGTCGGATTTCAGACGATTGTCGGCAAACATGCAGGTCTAAATGGACGTCAACATGAACTTGCGACAGAAGCGTCTCTCGTTCTCCGAGTGGTGACGACCCATGTGTTTGTTTTAACATTGCACTCGGTCTTCCTTGTGTGATACATTTCGTTTTATTTTCACTCTAGCGCAAAATTAGCAACAAAATAAAAATAACAAACAAAATACAAACCAACAACAAAAACAACAAAAGTGAGGCTACTTTCGATTAGGACTTCAGATGGGAATGGTTTGTTTTCTTCATCTTGATCAGTTCTGCCTAAGACGGCCACCTGTCTTATACAGCCACTTTTCTCCATGACAATGAGTGGCCGTCTTACACAGGTTCGACTGTATTATGATAAGCATAAACCCAGACCTATGTGCTGCTTTTCTACATTCGCTAGCTACTCATAGCGTTGTCAAATGCTTTTTTCTTATATGTGATAAGCCCAGATCTAACTTCCGCTATTCACAACGCCGTTGAATAGTTTTGTCTTATATAAGAAAAGCCTAGATCTAACTTCAGCAATTCGAAGTGCCGCCGAATCGTACTTTCTAATATGTGACAAGTCCAGATCTAACTTTTGCTATTCACAACGCTGTCGAATGGTTTTTTCTTATATAAGTCCAGATCTAACTTCCGCAATTCGAAGCGCCGCCGAATCGATTTTTTAATATGTGATAAGCTCAGATCCAATTTCCGATATATGAATGGGCTCGGAATAGTCATGCGGAGACTTGTAGGTCACATACATTTGCTGCGAGAGTGAAGGGAAAATGGCCGGTCTACGTGCGAAGCTGCTTTGGATAGGGGGGGAGGGGGGTAGGGTAGTCGTGCATTTATGATCAGGTCTAAACAACTATTAAACACAAAACGTTCAAATTTAAGCACACTATAGAGGATAGATAGATCTATTACCATCTCTGCATTGAAATTCAAGTTTCTTATAGTTTTCGGTACACCCGAAACGAAAGTGTTCCTGACACCAAAAGTATAGGTTAATTTATGTGTACTAACTTCAACGTCCACATATCATTAGTTTGCCCTATTTTCTGATTGGTTGCCAAGTTTCATTCACACTGGTTCATAAATAGAGCAGACCGAGGTTGAGAAAGTTAGTCACCTACGCTAAGATCCAGTCCAAAAATTCACCCGCAAACGAGGACCAAATTTTGTCGCGCAGGAAAGCCCGATTGGCATCTAAAGGGTTGTATTATAACTCTTGTAGGCTCCTTGTATCGCTCTGTCTCGTAACCATCAAATAAAGAGCATTTCTGTATATTTCTCTTAATGATTTTAGATATAATGTACTCCAAAGAAAAATTAGCTGAAAATCCATTATGTGTAAAAAAAATAAAAAAATTACACGTCATTCAAATGGCTCTGCCACACTTCGAATAGAGCAAAAGTCATGAATGTCGAATAGTAAAGTCGAATGGGCACAGCTCTATAAGCGACAATGCACACTATTGAGCTTCATAAGGAAAAGGCAAATACCTTACACGAGGCGCGGACTTAAAGATTGCAGCGTGAAAAGTAGCGTGGTTTATTTTTATTGAAACAAGTATCACACTCACTAAAATTAAATTTATATAGGAAAGATAAACATCTCTAACTTTACTGTGTCGAAAGGGGCATTAAATCCGCATAACGACCAATGAGATCTTAATCCATGCACATGAGAGAAGCAAAACTTACACTGGAATGATTGGCATTTACACTGGGACTAGGTGACGGAGAACTTGAGTTAGTAGAGGAAGGCGTGCTCCCAATTTTGTCCAAAAAGTCTTCACCCTCAGGAGGTGATGACGCCAGTGCTGTCGTTTCTGAAACTAAACAAAATAATGCAAATAAAATCAGGTATGAACCTAAGTTTTGTTACCAGTCAAAATAACACACATTTTCAAAAACAATATGGTGAATATCTGTTGATTACAATTCTCGACAGAGCAGTATTGTGAGACTTTATCTCCAGTTTCTGTTCGCATCAAAATTTGCAACAGAAAACAATGCACCCTCTTTGTAAAACTTAAATACTAAGCTTTAGAAAAATACTAAGAGAAAGAGAGGCCATCCCAATGTAAACCCACTATCAAAACGAATCACCAAGGGACCCGCTCCGATTACAAGAAATCAGGGTGAAAACACCTGTATAATAATAAAACTTTAAACTACTACTCTGCAAATCTATTTGTTTAAAAAAAAGAATGAACTATAATTTGCTTTTACAATTAAAAAACAACAACAAAACAAACCCAACCCAACCAAAAAAACAACAACCAAAGACTGTTTCAACCCATATGCCAAAACGATTGTTGTTGTTATCGATCCAAATGCCAAGACGCTAAACCAATCCATTTCAGGACTAAGAAAACTTGATTTACAGCTCTATTTGATCGACTCCAAGAATAAGTAGGCAAAAGAGAAAATTTGTCAATACTTACTACCAATATCTCCCAGATCTAAATCATCATACATGTATAAATTCTCCTGAAAACTGGGGTCTTGACACGATTCCACATAATACTCTATATCATCGCGGAGTTCTTTGATCTGCAATAACGAAAAAACCCATATATAACAGTAAAGCACAAGCCACATAGCAAAGTAGTAAAAGCTACTAAGTGCAATTGGACAACAATAACTTAGGTTATCAGAAAAACCATGACATTTAACACCCATCAGTCAGTTGTACAAAGCAATTCACAGCGAGGCAGTAAAAGAAGAAAAAAAGCAAGGCTGTGGTCAGGTGAGACATGACAAAAAGATGAGGGTTAAGTAGATTGATTGGGAAGAAAGGAGCTAGCAAAATAATTTAGACCACAGCTGCAAACACAATCAAAAGACACGTTTAGGTATCAAAGTTTGACCTTCTACTTACATAAAACGGTAGTCGTCAGATGAATAAAATTAAAAATCTTTTTTGAAAAATCCCTAGACCTTATACAAATATCCTTTGTAAGTGCACGCAACAGACAAGGCATGATATTCACACTTAATTAACTCTCAAGACCATCACCAAAGACACCCATTCCGACACATTACATGGAAATAAAATCGATGTCTTAGCGAACACAATCCACTATTATTTTTCACTACAACAACCATACTAATATTTTTTTGCAATAACTATTCTCATACAAAAACACTCACCTTATCAACAGCTACCTTGTCGTTGTCAACACGCCTCATAATTTGCTCTAACATTTCTATGTGATACTTGTGTCTCTCCTGGTGCTGCTTCAACTCCTCACATTTGGGATCCTGCAAAAAGTAAACTTATTAAATGTTGGAATCAATTTAATATTCCCTCCCCCATCTCAAACAAAAGAAAACCCACTTCTAAAATGTTCAAAACTATTTAAAACTGGCCCTCAACGGACTCAATATTCAGCAAGCTCTAAACCCATATCAAATCCATATAAAACAAAAACAAACCTTACCTTTCCTTTTTTCTTATTGGAACCAGACCTTGACTCAAGCTCACTCTCAAACTGATCAAGCTGCAACTGGAGGTTATCTATGACTGACTGTGAAAAAGAAAAAAACAAATAACCCATTCACATAAATGAAACATTAAAAGAATGTGAAAGGACATTTGTCAACCATATTCTAAACTAAACATGGACAACTTATGCAGAGGAAAGGGCACCACAAATACACCATAGCAGATAGCTGTAGTCGAGATGACATTTAGAGCAGACATGACAAAATGACACCTGTTTTCTGTAAAGAAATTTAAGTAACATTGAATCAGTATATCCGACTGAATGTAGTTGTTAGGAGTTGACACTACATCAATATGTATGCACTTTTTCCATAGAGTGAAATCAAGAACAATTCTAAATTCTGGATTGCGGAATACAAAATTTTGTTACTCAAAACCAACACACCGGTAGAAAAAGAGCAAAATAATTTCCTTGGGTCAAGGACAATATTGGCTGCATTCATTAATACATGTTAACACCATGAAAAAATGTAAAGGACTTGTTAAAGTACCGATAACCACTGGGTGGTGTCTGCTTTCTCCTTCATTTGAGGGTCCAACTTTGCAGCTGCCCCCAGACCATCCTTTGAGTATGCCTTTGTTTTTGTTTCCCTTTCCACCACCTTGAAACGTTCCATTTGCTGTCAAAGAGAGAAACAATTTCAATTGTAAATAATTCACATGATGAAATAACAAAAAGATAGAAACATTAAATATTTCACTAAGATGTATGACTACAACAGTTTATTTACAAATGATGCTCACGCACACCCTAAAGATTATGCTATTTCTATACATTCCCTTACCATCTCGATTAATTTGCGGTGATCTAAGAGTGAGGTTTTGTCCTTGATGTCACTGTTTGCGATCCATGATTTGATCTGATCTCGAAGCCTCTGTGATTGAGAAAAAACAAACAAACCAGTTTACATGTATGATATTAATCTGAACTGCCCTTTTAGAGCAAAAGAGGAATGATAAAAAGACAAAATTAATATACTCTACCATTTTATAAATTAGTACATGACAACAATGATACATTATTTCATTATATCTCATTTATACATAGTAAGTATATTATTACAGTACAATAATACATGATACATTTCTAACACTGAAATGTTTGAACATTCATATTCTGTTAGTGAGAAAAATTTGAAAAAGAAATCTAGAAACATTTGCACAAAGCTTATAATCAGTCTCATATTAAAATACATACTAAACCTCATTTTATTAAATTGGTTAGTAAATTCGGATGTGAATGAAAGTTGTCAAAAGCAACCCCGTCCTCAGTATGATATTGTTGCCAACATTCTCAACTTGATAAACCCAACTAATTTTCAAAGCATACTTCTCCAGTGGCAGCCTGTACGCAACCAGCACTTTAAATCTCGATAGATGATGAAATAAAGCGAAGTAACCCCTCAAATAAATTTGTTCTGGTTAAGTAGAGAGACGCTTTACTAGGCAATTAATACACCCCCCCTCCCCCAACACAGAGAAAGTGAGTGATTATCACAGACACAAGTTTCTCAAACTCATTTTAACTGAAATAGCTTTACGTTCCTGTTTACAGATCATCATCTCCTTTCTTACCTTGGATCAGGTTATAGGCGACAAAACACTTTCCCCTATCCTGGACAGCCTTTTGATTTTATTCTTAAACTCTTCTCCAGATTCCATGTGGTTTTCCCCCATAATCTTTTAACCTCCTGTCCACACAACTTACATCATTTAAACGCAGGCTGCTTCAACCCTGACTGTCAGGGCCAACCTAAGAGGCCAGGTTAAGAAGGAAACATTCCACCAGATGGAGATGTCAGCTTAACACCCCCCCCCCATCAAAAACACATCACGTGTAGTAAGCAATGGTGTAGAGCCTAACCACTACGCTATAAGCACCAGAAATCAATTCTACACCCCCCCCCCCCAAATCTGTTAATGAAATGCCCTGTGTTAACAAATGTAATCATTCCAAAGCTCCTGCGAAAATGAAGTATGTCAAACAAGATGTAGCAATATCAATTATAACCAAGCAATACTCACCTGAAGCTTTTTAATTTCTTTTTTCAGATCAGTTTCAAATTTCTCCTTTTGATTACTATTTGTAGCAGTTTGAACCTGAAATAAAATACAAAAATTCATTGTGAGAAAATCAAGTGTATAGAATGATGCTAAGTACTACATCAACAACAAAAACAAAATAAAGACTGATTAACTCACCGAGTCCTACAATACTGAACATGTAAAATACAGATTTAATGTTACTTTTACTTAAAAGTTATAATTTTAACCCTGTTTTGGCTTGTGAATTGGCAAGCACACCACAAAGAAAGGCCCAACCGACCATTATCCGTACATCCAGTTTAAGGGTTTTTATGAAGTCCTATGCAGACGCTGCATCTTGCTTGCTTGGAAAAGTGTAAGAACAGAAAAGAAAAAAAGTAAAGTTTTCCTTGCAATAACAATATTAACAAGCATGATCTTTGTCCCCAATATCTAGTGACAGTCGCACACTACTCCAAACAACGAAACTTTTAACTCCAGTTTAAGAAGATCAAACCAATGCACTAGAGAGTACAGAAATGATTACCTTCTTCCAAATGTCCTCGAAGGTTTCGACACCTTCGTCTACTTTTTTGAGACATCTCTCAATTTCAGCTGCAAAGGACAAAATGGCCAAATAAGTGTATGGCACAAAGCAAATATAGACCCACAACACACACAAGAACCCTCCCCCCCCACAAAAGTAACCATGTACAAGAACTGAAGCAATTCGAGTAAAAACAACAACAACAAAAAACACCACCCAAAAGTCAGTTTCTAGTATTAGTAAGAAATTTACGGCACTTGCAAGGTCGTATAAGTGCCAAAGATAAGAGGTGTTACAAGAGAGAAACACAAAAAAGGAGGAAGAGAGAAAAGGACGAAAGCTTTTGATAGTAAAGGAACAAACCACACGAGAGCACCCGCCAACTATCCACACAAAAAGTCAGAGGGAAGAAATTAACTTGGCTTACAGTGAAAGAAACAACTGCAATCACTTATTATTATAACCCCCACCCAAACAAAAGACAGGATCCTTGCAGGACAGCAACTCTGCTGTAAGTCACCAAGACAAAGGCAAGGTGCTTGAACATGTCAAAAGACTGATAGGTTGAAATGTCAGTAATGCTTAACTAAGCCCTGAACGGTTCTTACTGAGAAAACGGTGCAACATAAAAGCAATCATAATTTTTATAACAAGCATATTGGAACTATTTTTTCAGTATGATGGTCCTTGAAATTATTGAAAAGATTTTCTAGATCTAGACTGTTCCCTGGCAATGTCTAAACGGAAGTGGCTATTCTCACCCGGGGTGAGATTAGAAATACGATCGACCTCTCACCCCGGGTGAGACTTGCCACCGTAGGCTATTCTCAGCCGGTGTGAAACAAGACCTGTTTTTCCTTATTTCGGAATACTTTCTATCGATGTGGATGATCAAATGGACAAAGGCAAAGAATAGATTACGTTATAGCACAAAAGTAAGCTAATTTTATCGACTACAAAGATGCTATGGCCCTATGGCTATTTCACTTTTCGAATCGAGCCGAACTACGGGGGTCACCATTTTGTTTTGCCCGGAAGTTCTCGCAAGATCTACTCCTCCCCTCTTCTCTCTCTCTTTCTGAATACTGTCTATCGGTGTGTACGATCAAATTGACCAAAACAAAGTTAAAAAATTATGTTAAAACACAAAAGTAAATCAATTTGGTTGTCCACAAAGATGCTACGGCTATTTAACTTTACGAATCGAGCCGAACTACGCGAGTCGCCATTTTGTTTTGCCCGGAAGTTCTCGCGCTACTCCTCTCTCTCCACTGCCCACAGACAAAATTTTACGCTTTTAGTAGGCTAACATTAGATTTCTAGTAATGGAACGTTTGTTCACGGCACAGAATTCTACAATTTTTCTGTTATCACAGTGTAGAATTCTGTGATTTAGGGTAAAAGCAAAATTGGTTGGCCTAGATCTAGGCTATAACAGTGAATGCCCACCGGGTGAGAATTATAATAGCCAAAAGACTCGCCTGCACTATTCTCACCCAGGGTGAGAAAAGAGGTGGCCTCCCAAGCGCCTAAAGCAGAGATTGATGGATTCTCATCCTGACTCCTGACCATCATAAATTAATTTAATTAAGATCAATATCTAGGCCCTATAGAGCGTTTAGAACAGAGGCCACAGCTCATGATCCTGTCCACACATAAAGTCTAATGGAAGTCCACCAGGTGGTAAACCACAACAACCAACAAAGAAAAGGATAGAGAAATGACAAAGACAATGATGTCACAGTAGCCTAGTCCACTCCGTCTTCCCCCCCCCCCCACCCCCAAGTACACTGGACCCTATACTACCTCGGCAACGATGCATCAGAATAAGCTAATACTATAAACGACTGCTGACTGATGACATGAACAATCTAGTTATTCCTGTTACATGCACATGTCAAGGAGACTGTTCACAAGTCTCCAAAACGCAAAGCCCAAACCAACGCCAACATAGAGAAATCGAAACAGTGCAGCAAGACCTCTTTAGAGTTCTTGGAAAGATCGAAACCTAAGTACAATTAAAAATACCTTGTAGCTTTCGCCTGTCAGCCATGCCTTAAGCCTGCACAGGTATGTAGTTGTTGCATGCTACAGATCAGCAAAACAACGATAGTCAGACTAGGGTTGCGAAAGTGTTGCCAGTTCAACTCCTCTTGATTATTCCATCAAATCCAATATGGCCGACCAAAGCACTCCGAACAACTCAGTGAACTTGTGCTAGATATCCGAATAAAAAATAGTGCAGCTTTCACATAAATCTACACGAATTGGCAATTAAACTCAAATCAAGTAAAAAGTCTAAGAATATTATAAATATTGTTCTTAAATTTTGTCAAAATAAGCCTACAATATTCTACAATTAGTGCTTTTGTGCTCGGATTTATAGCTGCACATTAATCTATAACCGGAAGTACCTTCTGCATTTAGTACGCATGTGAAACCATTCTAATGTTTACATGTTTCTGCTAGATCTTCGGCGTAGTGTCAATGCAACGAAAACAGTCAAGGAAAGTTTGTAAAATAAAGCAAGACTAATTTTCGCCACAGATTCAACCATGAATGCCTTTCTGTTAGAGTGTAGTGCTGTTACATGATGTAAATAACAGCATTTATCTTATGGCATAGAATTAATAATAGATTCAAGATAGATTTAGACTTCTAGTCTTTTGATTATCTAGAAAGTGTGGTTCTCAGCTTTAGAATCAACAAAGAATTGCTTTGCTTTGGTTTGCACGGGATAGGCTAAATCTAGCCTACTCGACAAATATAATCTAGAATCTACTCGTCTGTGCAGTTATGTCTACCAGCTGACCAACACTGCTCTAGGCCCAAGATCAAGTCAAGAAAAAGGTCACTAGATCTAGTCTGATCTAGCAAAACGAGCGAGTGCGAGTTTAATCAGGTGTTCATGTAAGTATGCCTTGATATAAATATGTAGATCTAGATTTAGATGTGTTAAGCTAATAATAGGCTAGGCCTACTTAAATCTTAAATAAGTAAGTCAGGGTGTTCTCTGTTCTCTTGTCTTGCTTAGAATCAAATGAGTTGAAGTAGACTATTTGTGTGCGATCTGTCGATTTGCTCGATCCATTGATCGCGCAGCGCATTTGGTTGATCTAGGAAACGCGCGACAATCCTTTGATTGTTGCACATTCTGTTGATCAGTGGATCGCGCAGCGCTTATTGTGGATGTGAGAAATATAAACTTACTGCGCAGTCTGTTGATAAACTTTGATGATGAAGTGAAAAAAAAAAAGAAAATTTTACTTACTGAACATGTCAGTCTTTGAGCGTCCTGTTGTTTTGCTTCCATGAAGAGTTGTGTGTTGAACAAGTGTTGATGGTTGACCTGCACTCAGCATTTGGACAGATTTGATTGGCTGAGTACTTCACGTGGTATTCCGAATACGGTCAAGATTTTGGTAAATTTTTACTTTCACTCCCGCACACAGATGCACTGTTTCAGGGGTCAAACTGCAGTACTGTTTGCTGCAGATCACACATAAAGCCACTAAAACTGTCGCAAATCAATTATTTTCAAGACAATTTCAAATCTAACTGTAAAATATCAAATTATGGGTAAAAACAGGGGGGCATGCCCCCCTGTAACCCCCCAGATTTTCTTTTACCCCAGTGGGGCATGCCCCCCTGTAACCCCCCAGATTTTCTTTTACCCCAGTGGGGCAGGCCCCCCTGGTACCCCCCGATTGGTCCAAAGCACGTCTATCTCGGTTAAAAACAATCAAATATTTCAAAAACTATTAATTTGCGACGGACATGTAGTTGATATTCGTGTTCTGCACATCAATATTTAGTAGAAAATAGACAACTGGTAGCTGAGTGTGAGATGGGAGGGAAAGTAAAAAAATACCAAGATTTTTTATGGCTTTTGATAAAGATTTGGGGCTCTCGTGGCCTAGAGGTTAAGGTGTTGGCCTCTCATTCAAAGGTCCCGGGTTCGAATCCGGGTAGTGACCGAAAAATTTTCTTCTCTAAAATTGTCTCCTTTCACCTCCTTTCCTGCTCTCTAGCAATGTTCTGTTGTCTGCTTTCATTTCCACTTTCTGCCCCCACCCCCTCAATTCCTTTGCCCCCTCCTCTGGGCTCCTGACTCTTTCTGCAGCCTTTCTACTGCTACTCCTTGGCTCCTCCTTACTGCTGTCTTTCTGCCACACCCCTGATCTTCTGGTAGGAAAGATCTACACCTAGCCCTCTCGGACAAGGGCGAAAAATCTTGGAGGGCCTGTGTGCAAGTTGCGCACGTTAAAGATCACTTGGTGGTCTAAAATCGATAAGAGTAGGCTTCGGCCGCCACCCGGGCAAAATTCAAAATTTCCTACCAACTGAAAATATTAGGAGTGTCCCGCGCGCTCATATGACCATTGCAGTTGCGAGCGCCGTAAAACACTTTACAAAAACAAAAAAAATATGATAAAGATTTAATGGCTTGATTAAAAAATTATTATACATTATATATACAAGTATTGTTGTCTTTATTGTTTCCTTGAACCAGAGCACCTCGAGCACAGCCAACAGTTGGCGGCTTCTTTACGTTGTCGCTGTGTTTTTAGCCCTACGCACTTGGCATGGAACCATAGATTGTATTCCTCGCATTCTAACATCAGGTTTCCATCGTCTGGGCAACGGCAAACACAGTAAATTTCTACTGTTGAAGAAGAAACGACTGCTGTTGATCTGAATTTGGGGCGACTTGGAAATGCCACAAAGTTCTGAGTTTCGATACACCGTCTCAGATGCTGTCGAACTTCACATTCGTCATACTCGAGTTGTGTGGAATCTTCTCCACACAGCAGTGATGTTGCAAATGCAACAGCAAATGCACCACAATCTGGACGAGAGCCCTGTAGTTGATTGTTCATGAGAGCAAACTCAATCACATCGTCATCACTTAGTATATTTGGCCACGCTTTCTATAATTTTTTTGGCAGGCAATTGGCGAAGGGAATCATATATCCTAATCTGCTTATTGTCGTTCCTTGCAATTATTATCCAATGATTATGTGTGTGGACTATTTGTATAAAAGAACCGGTTTGCACACTAAATGGCGAGTTTTGCTGTAGCAACGTGTCCTGCAGTCCGTTTCTTTCTGGGTATTGCTGGCATAGAATATTTTGCGCAGCATTTATCTGTTTATCGTTCAAGTACACTGTTGGACATTCTAAATCTGTAGTGTCTATGTCAGATAAAACTCTTGACCATTTGCTTCACTTTTTGGTTCATCTTTGTTTTGACACGTTGTTGAAGAATGGCAGTGTGTCGAGCTTGTGATGTTGTTTAATAGACACGGACATCGTTTTGATTTGCAACCTGACGCGCAATTACAAAAGCTTTTTTAAAATAAATTCTCCGGATGATGCCTTTTTGCAGCCTCTCGAAGAGTGATTTCCTCTTTCAGGTTTGGTGTAACATCACCTGTGAATTGTTCTAGGTCACCTGCAAAATGTTTAGATTTTAGGCGTCCATATTTTGTGGCTAGTGAAAACGACGGTCTCTTCTGTCCATGAACCTGAATGATTATTGCAGGCAATCGTTTTAGATCTGTAGAAGCCCTATCTAGTTTTGGTATTGCTAGGGAAACTGTTTCACCTACACTACACGGCGTCACTTTTCGCCCGATTCTGTTACTTTTAGTTCCCGTGACTCAGCAGCCCGCCGGAGCTCCCCGGCTCGGGGTCACGGGGTTAATGAGCCCTGAGGCGACTTTGCCGGTCTCGGTCGGGAAGTTCGCATTTTTGACTATGTTTAAAACGATATAACTTCTTCCCCATCCCACACAGCAAACCATTACGCGGATGTACTAAAAGCTCAATGTCTTGAGATTTATTCTGCGTTAGAATGGTTAGTTTCTGCGCCTTAGTTTTAGTTCTAGACAAGTGTTTGTAGAGTACCCAATTTGTCCTATTTCAGTTACAAAGTTATGAATAAATGATTGTTATTTTAAAAAAGGCACGACAGATCTCTCCAAATTCTGTGTTAAACTGACTACGAATATCATGTCTTTTACCATGAGAAATCTTAAATCTGCGGTAGTAGTAATAATCAAGTTATAAGAGAAGAAAGATGCACATCTGCATTTTTTAACTAAAGACTATCAGCGTTAACTCTTATTTTACTATTAAACAAGAGAAAGTTACTCTGCGTTCGTTCATGAATCATGCTGTGTCTGTGGCAGCCTGCATACAACTAAAAAGATATAATATAAGCGATTTAAAAAACCACAAAACCGTGTAAATACATGGGTAGAGATAAACTTCTAGTATGGAATAAAAATAATGACAGCTAAAACATTCATTCTTAGTTTTTGTGTAGGAAATATGCGCGGACACAATTATGAATGTAAAGGAATCAGTCACATTGTCAGTTATTGCAAATGGTCAGAGAAATGTAAAAAAAAGCTGGAAAACTCTGGTGCTGATTCAGTGTCCCTGGAAAGCTAGAAATTATTCTTATAACCCAATTACGAGAAGTCATCCTTATTATTCAGTCAACTTACAAAACCTAGACTTAGCGTTTTAAGAAAAGTAAGCAATTTCTGGAGTGTAACAGATACTGTTCGTGTATTAGGTCTACGTTGAAGATATATTCTAGCACTAAAATCGATTTGTACTTTTCATTGAGAAACTTCATGATAACTTTTATAAACTTTCGAGAAAATATGCGAATATTCAGGATTATATATTAGACACATAGAGTTGTATTTGGAGGAATTACTTCATAGCGAATTGTGTGCCCGATGGATAAAGTTGCAAAATTACAGCCTTCTATTATAAGCGCAGATACCGTCTTTTCTGAGTATCTGCACTAATGTTATGTCGTTCATATTCCAAAAGTTCGACAGATTTTGACGATGCGTTTTTTTAATATTAATTTTTTTTCATTCACGCTAGTCCCAAAAAAATTACAATTTAGCATTGCCGACTCCAGCGCGTCTAACGAAATAACCAGACAAGTTACAACGTCCGTTCTTTTTTGAGTCTCAAGAGCAGAAATGCGTGCTTTGGGTGCACTGAATGAGAATTACCATAAATACAAGAATACACCTTAAATTGTACGTTGAAAAGTACCAAAAATTAAGTCGGCCCAGACAGAGCGGCGACAGGGAGCTGACCCCCGTGACCCCGACGTGATAAGGCGCCCGGCGGCGAACCCCCTGCGGCAACTAAAATTCCACTGCCGGTGCGCCGTGACTAAAGCTTGCGATTTTTACTCTTTTTGGGTTGTTGTAAATTTCTCCATTCGTTCAGCTGCTTAAACAGTTTTTCGGTAGGCTCTTTTTAGCACAACTGTATGCCTGTTGAACTCTGGTTCAGACTTGGGATGCTGTGTCGGTGGCTCTGAATATTCCTCAGACAGCTGAGCTGGTGGCTCTGTTTCGGCATCATACAGCTGAGTTGGTGGCTTTGTTTCAGACAGCTGTGATGGTGGATCTAGTTCTTTAGTGACATTACGTTCTAGTTCTAGCCTCAGCTTTTTTCGTGGTGTGGGTGGGAATTGGTCTCTGCAGCGGTTGGTGTGACTCATCTAAGTCTTCCTCCTCAACAATTGAATCTGACCCAGGGAAAAGGCCTGTTGGTGTGGTGACTTTCCAAAGACAACTTTGTATGGGGGCTCATTTGTAGTGCGTTGCACATCCGTGTTCAAAGAGAACATAATCCTTGGAAGCCATGATGCCCAAGGATAAGTGTTATTTGAGTCGCAACCTTCGTCGACTTTCATTGCGGCAAGTTTCTTTTCCACTGTTCTATTGCCTCGTTCAACAAGGCCTTGGGATTGTGAATGTCGAGGCCTACCATTCACAAAAGTCACTTGACCACCTCAAAAAGAGCCCTCATGACTTGGTTAACGAATTCTTGTCCATTGTCTGAATGAAAAATTTTAGGAGGTCCAA